CGTCCGTCTGTCCGTCTGTCCGTCTGTCCGTGTACACGATAACTCGAGCAAAAATTGAGATATCTCAACGAAATTTGGTATGTAGGTTTCCCTTAATCCAAGGTAGGTTGGTATTGAAATTTTTATACGTTTATACGATACCAGCATATTTAAAAATTTTCTTTGTGCAATGTGTCTGTCTATGTTAATGTCTCTGTTGATTTTTTTTACTTCTTCCACCACCTTATTCCATAGAACGCTCTTTTTTCTCCTTCCAGATGCAAATTCGTCTTCCATATTTAATCGAACTCTAAGCAGCAACTTAACTTCAGCCGTACTAAGATTTTCGCTGAAAATAATAAAAATATAATATAAGATTGTTTCAAAACTATACGTTTAACAAATTTTCATTGTAAAAATTACAAAAAATTAGTTTTGTACTCACTTTTCTTCCGACATGGTACAAGCGTAATCAGCGGCAGTGTAATTTTTTTTTATGCAAATGATGAGCGACGCTTGATAGAAAAATGGCGTTTTAGAACGCTCGACATTTGCAGTGCTGCCATATTAGCATTTCTGAACGTTCTGCTGGTCCTGCAAAAGCAGTATGCGCATTATACTGCATTACTGAACACACCCTTATGTATGTAATTTTGCTCACGCTACCCCATCAGGCGCAATGGCCGAGTGTGCAAAGCACTAGACTGCCAATTGAGAGAGCCGAGTTCGAGTCCGAGTCGTGGGGCTGTGGAGATTTTTTTCTTTTTTCATTTAATTTTTGTTTATTTTTTTAATAAATATTTTTTTTAGTTTATTCTTAGCTTAGATTTTATTATTTTAAATACAAAAATATGTTTTTTTTAAATAAATTTTTATGATATTAAAGTAATTAGGTTTATATCCTAATAAATTGTTGCTAAATTATTATTTCCTCGATTCATACAAAATATTAATTCTTTAAATAGCGTCTAGCAGATGAATGCGTGCATGTACATTAGAGTGATCCAAAATAATAAAGTCGGAATTTTAATGCCGCCACCCCCTAGGATTGTTCTGCACCGAAAATAAATATACCCCTATTTTTTTATCTTGAAATCAAAAAATATTTAGGGAGTGATCACAGCGCTCAAAGTTTTCAATGTTTTTTGTGTGGAAAACAAATTTTCGTAAAAATGACATAAAACTCTTGAAAATCAATATTTTTCAATCGTAAAACTGTGGTTCTCTTCAGGAGACTTCAAATATTGATATCCAATTGTTTATTTAACCATTTTTATGATTAAATATTTTTTATTGGTCCCCCCATTGCATTCTCAAGGACCCATAAAATATAGTCACCATGAAAAAATTGTTAAAGGAACAATTGGGTATTATTACCGCGAATCTCCTGAAGATAAACAAAGTTTTCCGATCGAAAAATATTGATTTTCAAAAATTCTACACTTTTTCTACGAAAAGTTGTTTTTTCCCCATATAAAATACTTTGAAAACTTTGAGCGCTTTGAGCACACCCTAATTTTTTTTATATTTCAAAATAAAAAAATAGAGGTATAATTTTTTTTGGTATAGAACAATCCTAGGGGCTGGCGGCATTAAAAATGCGACCTTATTTTTTTTACATACATTTTTGGACCACTTTAATGTACATACATATGTATGTATGGCATTGGTATTTTACGTCTACGTTTACACAAATATATGGAATTATATCAAACTATAACAAATTTTTGGAGTATAATAAATATTTAATATTAAAAATAATGCAGCTTTCTTCCACTATTTTTAATTGATTGAGTGATTTTAAATTTTGTTCCGACAGCATAATCTAGTCGTAGAGTATCTGTACGAATCTTCATTACGAACGGATTCAATGAAGGCTCTCTACGAATTCCGAATTTACGTTCGTAGCCATTCGGATTCTGTGATAGCACTTTCGTAGATTTCACGAAAATCGAAGCTACGATGGATTCTGTGGTAGCCCTGATTGTCTCGAATACGATTTGCTATGGAAGGATGGATTTGCGTTCAAATCTTCCACTCTGTACTAAAGGCAAATGTTGTGGAGTGCTCAAACAACGTTTATAATTTCACTGGCTTTGATCGGAGAGAATGCAGTTCAAGTTGAATTTCTTATGATTCTTTACTCATCTGAAAAGGATCAAACATGTCCCTAAATCTCCGCCTTTCAACTTTCGCATCAGCAATCTGGGACTCGGTCTGCTCTTCAGGCGATAGAATTATGTCTCCACTTAAATTAGAAAAAACGGAATTTTATTTGTATTAGTTATTTTAAAATATTTACAAATTTTAACTACAGAAGCTGCTATAGTTAGGTGCAATTATTTCTTTTGTTTCGTTTCGATTTCACACATTCTGATTTCGAAGATATTTTCGCTCTTCTTCTTTCGATTCGATCGTAACTCTCATTTGCTATTTCAAAGCGTAATTTTATATTTTACAGCTCTCTTGCACTCCTCAAGATTTCGCAAAATGTACGAAATCGGAATATATTTAAAATAAGAGTTCTGAAAGCAATAAAAATATATGAAAAGTGTACGTTTCTATAATTTTTTCAAACACTGTATATGCATTTATTAACGTGTTTCCACGAACACTGTGTATTAAAAAATTTAGGCAGCAAAAAAGTATAAAGCAGTATTTTACAAAAACCCGCAGTACCCATATTTCGAATCCATAAAAAAGTATTATACTGCCAAAAAAAATATAGAAACAATTATGCTCAGTTCAGTACAATTATTCAGCCCTATTCTGCTTTTCGACTCGAATCGAAATTTTCTCCGTTTGGCAGCTTTGGTATTCTGCGTTCCGTTTTCTTTCGATCAATCTTCGAAATTTACGATTATACCTATTCTACATTTCGATCGTAGTTCCGTTTTTCTAAGTTGCAAATTTGTTGACGGAGAAAGTTTCAATCGTTATTTTCGTGGGGTTAAATAATAAAATTTTATAAAAAATTTAATTAAAATATACTGTGCATGATTGTAAGTCATCATAAATGAATTTTCTCGATTTCTGTGTTTTCGCGAGCGGTAATACGGGCAATACAAAAAATTGGCTCAAATAATGGCAGCCAAAAGGGATATTGCGCGACGTTTTCAAAGTGGAAGTCCAGGCGTTTTTGTTTACATTATCTATAAATAAGACTGCGAAATGCACTGAATGCAATTTATTCTTTTTATATAAAATTAATGATGTATGCACATAGATACATACATATATAAAATGTGAAGTTACATAAAAAAGATGCTTTTATTATTGCACTCGTTTTTACTAACTTTTTAAAAAGAGGTGCGTATGTTGTCTCGAATTCGATTTGCTATGGAAAGATAAGCTTTGTTCTTCCCCTCCTCCTGACGGCTTTTAAAATGGGATTCATTTGCGTTCAAATCTTCCACTCTGTAGTAAATGCAAATGTTGTGGAGTGCTCAAACAACGTTTATAATTTCACTGACTTTAAGCGATGAGTAATACAGTTCAAGATGAATTCCTTATGACTCTTCACTCATCTGAAAAAGATCAAACATGTCCCTAAATCTCCGCCTTTCAACTTCCGCATCAGCAATCTGGGACTCGTTCTTCTCTTCAAGCAATAACGCCGCGGCTATGGATTTCATTCTTATAATTAGGTATCCACTTAAATTTTTTTTAATTACAGTGATGCTAGGTATATTTTCTTCTTCTTCTTGATTGGCGCTGTAACCGCCTAAGCGATTTTGGCCGAGTCCAAAACAGCACGCCAGTCATTTCTCTTCTGTGCTAACTGACGCCAATTGAGAATACCATGTGAAGCCAAGTCCTTCTCCACCTGGTCTTTCCAACGCAGAGGAGGCCTTCCTCTTCCTCTGTTACCAGCATCGCGGCCCGCGTTGAATATTTTCAGAGCAGGAGCGTTTCTGTCCATCCGAACGACATGGCCAAGCCAGCGGAGCCGCTGAATTTTAATTCGCTGCACTATGTCTATATCGTTGTAAAGCTCATACAGCTCATCGTTAAATCGTCTGCGATATTCGCCATCACCAACGCGTAAAGGTCCGTAAATCTTTCGCAGAATCTTTCTCTCGAAAACTCCAAGAGCCGCCTCATCAGATGCTTTCATTGTCCATGCNATGCATGCACCTCATCAGCTCCTCGCCGCCGTACTTGAATAGCTCGGCTGGCAGGCCGTCAGCTCCAGCAGCTTTATTGTTTTTCAGCCGCGTAATCGCTATACGTACCTCGTCATAGTCAGGCGGTGGGACAGCTACTCCATCATCATCGACTGGGGACTCGGGTCCGTCTTCCTCACTACTTTCAGGTATATTAGTTATTGTAAAATATTTACAAACTTTAACTTCATATGCTGCTATAGTTTGGTGGCAAATATTTCTTTGTTTTGTTTCGATTTCACACAGTCCTAGGCAAACAGCTGATTAGGAAAGATGTTTTCTCTCTTCCTCTTCTTCTTTCGTTTCGATCGTAACGCAGAATACCTTAGTTCGATTCCAGCGGAGCGGAATACGGGAACGTAATCGAAATGCAGAATCGTTTAAAAAGGAGAGAAGTGCATGAACGGGACCTCAATCAGGCGAGATTTAAAATATAATTCCAATCCTCTACAGCTACCGCCTGCAATGTAAGCAAAGTTAATGCTTTCCAGAATTCCAAAAGAAGCTGATGTATAATTGATTAATGTACAGAGCAACGACTTCGTTCAACTTCAGTACCTCCCCTCCTAAAAGCTTGCGCATCTCTTCGATTTTTCCAGAAACAAGTCTCACAGCAATCGCTTCAATTCGGGAGTTAGTAGTTTTAAAAGAGGTGCTTCAGTTGATACGAGGAAAAAATTTGCAATCAGTGTTCACTTTCGTTTCACCAAAAACACGTATACCACGAGAACTAAAATTTCAAAGTGTTGTTTTGTTGTTACGATGCTCTGTACAAGCAAAATACGGCTGTCTTCCAAAACGTATCGATACAATGTCTGGAAACTGTTATACTGCGGTATTCAAACTATTTGTATAGTTGCGACAGATTGCAACCATATACATTGCATATTTTAAATACTCAATATACCAATGAACAATTTTTATGAATTTTCCATTTTTCAATTTTCCACCAATGGTAACCAATAACAAACGAAGCATCAACTTTTCGATAAATTTTCGGATGTGTTTTGGAAAAGTATACATCGTCAACATTTTGTAGTTCGGCGTTATTCAACGTTATACTTTGTACGTATGCAAAGCAAGTGACGTTTTGGAAGTTAGCTTACATTGCCAAATGTTAATATCGTTTAAACTAAAATAATTCACATACTTCAAAAACCTTCACAGCAACCACACTGTATACAGCAACTGCAGTTGTCAGTTGAGAGTTGCCTGTTGCCATCTGCAGTATCGTTTCGGCAACGCAACTGAAGTTCGGTTTCTATCGATAATCAACCCATAAAGAAGTTTAAAAATAAAATATAATCTTTTGACTCTAGACACCCTTTAATTATAATTAAAGTGCGTCGTTCCACCCGGCCATAAAAAGTTGAAACACATGTTTGATTTTTTGTTGTCGTTTTTTTCTCGTTTTAGTTCATGTATAGCTTTAAAAACTTGTGTACAATAAGCTTAATTATTAATATTTTACATACTTCAATCTCTCAGAGATGCAGTAATGAACGCTAGTGGTAGATCTGAACGGTGTTAGTTACATACACGATTTTGCGAAAAGTATCGGTTTTCATACCTCATATTAATATAGTTTTCTGATAAATTTTTTTTGTTTCTTACACTTATGTTTTCTTTATAGTTAAATTTTTCCACAAATTCAAAACGATTCCGAAAATAAAGAAATTCCCTAATATTTTTATAAGATTAGCTTAAAACTACACTATATGCATTTTTATACCAATTTTCCTTTTCTTGATGATTTATTTCATATATTCACTCGAACTTTCTTAAATATTCCTTAATGTAAAAAAAAATATATATTATTTTAGGCTTGCACTATTATTATACTCCTTTATATATTTTTATATGCGATAGATTTACAGTAATATTTATAAGACGTCTCTAATTGCATTCACTTTAAACATACATTATTTATTTAGTCTTTACCTAAAGGCATGTGTTGTTGATTAAAGTTCCGTTAGATATTCTCGTCGCTAGTCTCGCTGCTAAGTACATGATTGAAAAACGGATTGAGTCCTTTCACAGCAACACCTGAAATACATTTAAAAATAAAATTCAAAAGGATGTGGGAAACGAAAAAAATTAAAATATTTGCAACCTTTGCCGGCTGATTGATCTTTTGAGTCCCGCCATTTAATAAAGGAATCTTGTGGTATTACATCAGCATCGTATAGTTCTCCAAACAGATCACTCAGCAAACCTATTTATAGCGAATTTTTAAATGAAAAGCAATATAACAAAACTAAAGCTGGTTACCTCTCGGATGTTCTAACCGTGCTACCAATAGCTGCATTGAATATAAGCATTCCAATTCGAATTCCTCTTTGGAATCAATATACCGATGTAAAACAGGTATGCAAATTTTTCGAAAACAATCGGCTTCCAATTTATAGCTATTTTCTTTGTATGAAATCGCGAAATCACACAGTTTAGTTGCTAGGGTTCTGATAAAGTGCTTATCACTATCCACAACGTTTCCCTGATTATGGGAAGGAAATTATATTGGTATCACTGTAAGGCAACCAAAACACGAATTTACTTACATTTATGTAATCTATTATACAATCTGCCGTTGCTTCCTCTTTTAACAATTGCTCTACATTCTCCGAAACTCTGTTTATATTATCTTCTTTGGGCTCATTAATAACGATTGTAGGTTGTATTGTTTCGTTCTCAATATATTCAAATTTCTATAGGACAATGGAAAAAAAATTGTTAATGTTTAGCTTATAAATAGTCATGTGAAAAATATTAAAGGCACGGAATTTTCCGAAACCGCTCAACCGATTTCAATAAAATTTTTTGGTTAAAGCTTAAAAGATAGGATAGTTCTGAACCCGAGAAAAATTTTTTTTTCGTGGAAATTATTTCTATGCTTCTCACAGCGTACTTATCTTAATATATAAAAATCCCGTTTCACTGTGCTCGTTTACGCTAATCTCTAAAACCGCTTAACCGATTTCAATTGAATGTTGTGGGTGTGTATTGTTGGTTCCAACTTAAAAGATAGGATAGTTTTGAACCCGAGAAAAGTATTTTTTATGTTTGCTGGTTTGGAGCTGCTTCGGCCGATAGAGTTAAAAGCGGAGCGCTTCAACGCTCTCGCGTCTTCATCAGGGAGCCTTTATTAAAACATAACCACAAATAAACAATAAACATGATTAGCAACTAATATTCGCTGATAGAAAACAATAAACCTAGTTAAAGACAAATAATTTACATTAATTCCGACTTTAAACTCACATTCACATAAATATTGTTAACAAACAGTTAATAAAACTGTATTCTACATAGACGAGACACGAGTTTCGTCTGCCTCGGGAGTCACGCACTACACTCGCACAACTTCGCTCCGGCTACTGCAGCAGGTTGAACTCCTACTTGAGTAGGTTGAATGAGGATGTGCCGAATGAGTGTCCGGCATGCGGAGAGACCCCACATGACTCGAAACATCTCTTCGCATGCCCGGAAAACCCGACAACCCTAACGGCCTTGTCCCTGTGGACAAATCCCACAGAAGCTGCACGCTTCCTAGGGTTGCCGTTAGTGGAACTTGACGACAACGACTGAGATACCAACCGATCTGGGCGGGGTTGTTGTAGCCGCTACAACAACAACAACAAAAACTCTATTCTTATGCTCTTATTTATCTATACTATAATACAGCTGTAAATTGTTTGTCTGTTTAAACTCACTAATCTCCAGAACTACTAATTGGATTTTCAATTCAATTCAAGAGCATAGGATTCGAATTTTATAATATTGTGCAAAAATACTTAAATGGTGCTAAAGTTTATCGTGTGATCAATGTTTGTTAACAATATTTATGTGAATGTGAGTTTGAAGTCAGAATTAATGTAAATTATTCGTCGTTAACTAGGTTTATTGTTTTTGTATCAGCGAATATTAGTTGCTAATCATGTTTGTTGTTTATTTGTTTTTATGTTTTGAATAAAGACTCCCTGATAAATACGCGAGAGCGTTGAAACGCGTAGGAGGGAAAAAGGAAATTTTAATTTTCCGCTTTTAACTCTATCGGCCGAAGCAGCTCCGACCCAGCAAACATAACAAATAAGAATTTGGCCCAAATAATTATGAAAAATAATTATTTTCATCGAAATTTTTTCTATGCTTCTCGCAACATGCTTATTTCAATTGATAAAAAATCCCGTGTCCCTGGGTTCGTTTTCGCTAAAATCCGAAGCCGCTTAACCAATTTCAATGAAATTTTGTAGGTGTGTATTGTTGGTTCCAACTTAAAAGATAGGATAGCTTTGAACTCGATAAAAACTTGGTTTTTTCATCGAAACTTCTTGTTCTATGCTTCTCGCAACGTGATTAAAAATCCCGTGTCGCAAGTTTCGTTTACGCAACCCACCGAAAGTACCCATAGTGTGGGAGTTTTCCAATGTTATTCGCGGCTACGCTTCATATGTATGTTTACATTGGTAAGAAGTAGGTAGTAAAGCAACAAAATAATGTAGTATGTAGTTATACATATAAACGCGCGCACATCAACAACAACCAAAATTTTACCATTTGGACGCAATCCAATGTTGTCCATTCCCCTGGCTATTTGTAAAAAACAACATAAACGATGCATGTAACCTGCCTATTTATCGGTGTGTAGCAGGACAACGTCTACCCGGGCCTCCTAGTTTTTTTTTTTATAGGAAAAAATACAGCTCATTACCTAACAAAAATTACAACAAACTTTTTTACTAAGGTACTACTTATAGTAGTGAAATCGTTCCGGCATACCATGAAGCATTTATGCCGAACACATGTATATTACGATTCATAATCATGTTTTCGCCTAATCATAAAAGCTTCATGAATCGAAGCACCCAACATTTCCGAATCCTAATTTGTTTACTTTTTGTATTGGAAATAAAAATTATTTGTCTTTTCAATAGAAAGTAATTGAAAATTAATGATTTTGTGCTAAAACTCGTGCCAATTGTGTTAAACCGAAAACGTTTATGCAATATTTTATTGCAGAAATATTCGCGGAGTGTATCACTGAGAAAGAACGGCCAGAAAATGTGTTATGTGTGTGCCAACAGGGGTTATGCAGGACGCGCAAATGAAAAGCAATCAAGTCGTCATGCATTTGTTTCGGCATGACGAAATGATTACTCTACTATAATTAAGCGCGTAATGTGGGGAGTGCCTAAGAATTTTCAGAAAAATTCTAGGTACGCAGTTTCAGAGCTCATCACATGCTAGCTTATTATAGTTCAAGTTTCAAGTGGCCGAGAATTCGCGTTGACTTTTGATATTTTTTGCTGATGGTATTTTCTTCCATACAAAAAAAAAAAAATGTGACACATACTTTGCAGGCAAGGGCAAAGTTTGTTGGTTTTTTTTCTTCTAGTTTTTCTACAAAGTTTGAAATTTAGACTTATATGGTTTTGGTTAAAATGAGTTGCAAAATTATAAAACAATTAATTAACATTAAAAAAAAAACACAAAAGAAAAATATTCAAATATGATCAAAATATCGTTACTATTATTTTTCAAATAACTGTATATGATACAACATTGAATAACTTACATTTATCTGAATAAAACTTTTGACTTCGTTCTCGTCCATGAAGTCTGTCCAGTTTATGTTTTTCTTTTTCCACATGGTACGCGTAAAACTAGGACCAATTTCACTTAAACAGTATTCTAAAGAAATCTTCAATAACTTCCTTCCAAAGCTCGGAGCGTTGTCTTCTTTCAGTTGCTTACTCCAAAGATCGTTGATTGTTATGTACCCTTTCTGAACCAACGGCCCTAAAATATATTATGTTTAATAATTAAATTTCTATAATTAAATTTCTAAAACTGCATTACCGGTAAATTCGATCATATATTTCCAGAGATCAGGAATGTCAAGTGCTAAATCACTGGCTATTTCGCAGAATTTGTTGTAGGCTAACAGAAAATGTTCACGAGTTATAAAATTGCTCTTAATTAAATAAACAACTATGTTGCCCAAATGACGTCTTTGCAATTTGCCAACTTGCCGCAAATGCAAAAAATCTGTCATAATATAGCACAAAAGTGCGCTACGTTGGCTTTCCCGAACTCGAAGCATACATGGTTCTATTGAATTCTTTAGAGTTTTTGAGTTCGAAGCTACTTCTAGCATCTCGGAAACTACCGACTTAATGATTCTGATATCACCAGTGCTTGATTCTTCAAAAACTGCAGTTGGCGGTTCTGTAGGCATCCCACTCATGCTATTGTCTCCTTGTTGGTTTGAAAGGGAGTATGTATCAATTCCGCGCTGAGAAAATAATGACGGCCCTGCCGCTGAAAGAGCAGCCTAAAAATATATATTTAATTTCATAAATTTCTTAAACAGTTTGTGGATATACCTTTGATGTCATTCTGTTCGATGATGGCAATTGTTGCTGAGTGTATTTGGAGTGACTTGCAGACTTTTGCATAGCAGATGTACCCATTGACGACCGTGATGGTTGGGGTCCCCGCGACGAGGAACTTTCTCGCGATGCTTGAGAAGAACCCGATCGTGGATGCATGCCTGTTAAAAGTTTCTTACATATAAATAGAATTTGGAAAAACAAATAACATTTTATTTACCATAACGGTCTCGCTCCATGGAACCTTTGTTGTAAGATCCTTTACTGCGCGGCCCACTTCGGTCTCTATCACGTTCACGATCCCTATCGTTACTTCTATTAGTATCACTGAGCGCAGATAGGGCTGCAAAGGAATTCGTAGGTGTAGATGTGGGCGTGGAAGATTGCCGTGAGCCATGGGACCAAATAAATTGAGAGACACCACCCATTTTCTTAGGTTCAAAGTTATTAGGGGTTGTCTATGAGAAAGAAATAAAGAGTTAATTAAACATTTCTTTGCAACTTAGATGCGTCAATGATACTAACCAATCCCTCCAATTTGTTCGTATCTAAGCAACGACTTCCCTTACTGGTTTGGACAATCCATGTGCTGTCGTCATTATTTGAGTTTGAATGGCCTCCGCTATTAGTGCCACTGTTTCCACCACCTTGCTGCCTCCTGAGGCTCCCGGTATCACCTCGCTGACTGTGACTACCTCCATAACCGGACCGTGAGTCGTTATATCGACCACCTCCTCCACGTTCATCTCGCTTTCCACCAGGGCCTAATGACGACGGACCATTGGAGCCTCCGCCACCCGAAACTGATCCAGCATAGTTGAAATATTGTGAGGACAGCTGTTCAGTTTTCATCTCTTTTTCAACCTGCCCCATTGTTTTTGGTGCTTCGTTGCGTTTCGATTGCCACTTGTCTCGGCGTAAGTCAATCACATCTTGAAGCATAAAACGCACACGTGAACTCACTTTCGCTCCTTCTTTGTCCGATTTAGATGCTATAGCTTGCATTCGAGCTATAGTTTTGTCCAACGAATAGCAACGAGAAGACTCTTTCGAGTTAATAGGTGTCATTTCAAATTTAGCACCGACCGTAGTTAGAAGTTTGCACATGCATTCAAGCTGGTCTTCCGAATTAGGATTTAGAAGTGCTTCAATGCATGAGTTAATAATTTTTCCGGTGAGCATGGAAATTTTAAAAAGTTCTCCAATAAAACGTACTGTTCCTCCCGAACGGCGACGGATTTTTCGTTCCTCTTCTTCCAACTGTGCTTCTAACTCAGCCTTTTCGGTAGGATCTATGCAGTTTGAAATTTTTTCAATAATTGGTTGCAACTTCTTTTCCTTTGCTTTGCTTTTTGTAACATTTTGTGTAAATTCACGTTCCGTTTTATCTAAAAGAGCAGCACGGAATTGAGCCAAATTAGTCTTTGTCCCGCTTTCCATGCGTTCATCTCGTGCTTTGACTTCTGTAATCAATCGATGGCACAAACGTGCATATGATACGGAAAAGTTTGGCTCATCTATTGCCTTTTCAAATACAAGAACCATTACGTCTTCCATTTTATCGGGTGTATCGATCTTAAGCTTAATAATTTCTTCAACCAAAGTATCAAATTTCTCAGGCGTTAGTTTGTTTAGTATACCACGCACACGACGTATAAGTTCATCTTTTTCTCGCTTCGCCCCAGCCTCGGGATCGGCTTCGGCCTCGCTTCCTTTAACAAGAACACTAGGACGCCAGGCGTTATCAGTTTCATTTAGTTTCACATCCTGATTTAGCGAGAGATTCACGCGAATCATTCCTATTTGAAAATAAATTTGTTAAATTTGTAACGAAGTGCTACGGCAGCATGATTCAATAATTAAAGGTTTGTTCACTAGTGACATTAGAGTTTTGACACTCCCTTAACTCCTTTATAAAAACTTTGCACACAGACATGACCCCACACACAGTTCCTTGCTAAGGGAGCCGATTTTGTCAAGATGGTGCGAGGCAATTTTATTCTTAGCAAACCTTTTATTATTGAATCATGCTACGGCAGAATATGATTAATGTATGTCGACGTTAATTTCTATGCAGCTTTGTTTCTTATATATATGTATAAAAAAATAGTAATATAATCATTTTAGAAATTTATGACCTTCATAGAGTAACTAGTCCAACCTCCTCGATGTACATAACCTCCTGGATGTACATATCGTAACCATCAAAGTCAAATTTTTATAGAAGCAAAAAACTTTTTAAACTAACATCGAAAGTACTTACAGAGCTGCCCAAAAGATGCCAAAAAATATCGTATTTTTTAATTTGTGTACATCAATTTTTGTATGAGAAAGCTAACAGAATTTGTAATAAACGCATTTTCGATATATAAGGTCTATTGAATTAATGTTTTAAATTTCTAAGCAAGTTGCCTAAATAACTGAGGAAGAGTACATTTGTATAGCAAACAAAAATTTATAAATAAAATTTAAGCCGTGTGTATATTATGCGTAAAAGTCAAGGCAATCGAGTATTTGAAACATATTTTGACATTACGCATGGCGCTTCTATAAACAAAATTATATCTTGCAAAATCATTACAATCAAAGTCCAGGATACTTTTAAGCAGAAACAAATCTTTTTGCTGCAATAGAAAAAGGTGCATAGGAACAATGAGCGTGACATTTTCTAATTTTGCTAGATTGAAATACCATGCAAATCCTATAGGTTTACCTTTCATGCTTCCTCGTGCATGGACACCTGACATTGATGCCTGCTTATTTCCATAGTTGCCGCCCCCATCCACGCCAGAAACACTTCCAGTTGCACCACGATTACTGCTCAACGAACCAACCATGGACTGCACACGTTTGGGACGGACAAAAGATGGCATCAAATTGGGGGTCGGTAATATAGCTACATTATTCACTTCAGGTTGCCTACGTGAAGCTTTCGCTTCTCTTAATTGTAAAAGTTGTTCTCTATGGTATTGTTTTTTTCCTGTCGGGTTGTTGGGTGACCACTGGCCCTCGTTGTAATTTATCAAAGATTGTTGCGCGATTGACTGATCGCCACCTTCTGAGGGACTTTTTTCATCAGCTTCAATTGGGTTCTTATCTCCATTTGAACTACTACGCGGAACGTCAGGACTACCATTATTTTCGCTATCGCTGTTTTCATTTTTAAGACTACTCGCGTCTATCTCCGACTCTGTGGTTTCAGTTGGCGACAATGTGGGCTTATTTACTATCGCTGTATCAGCCGTAACAACACTTGAATGTGTTGATTTACTGCATTTATTTGAAGATGCTTCTATTTCATTAGATGAGTGCTGTTCTTGATGGAGGGCACGGTCAGTCTCATCGTATTCTTTTTCTACCACCGCACTGCTTCTGGAATTTAAACTCGGCGGCTCCAGTAATTGTTCTTGTCCAGGATCGGTTTCATTGACCGAGGACTCACGACTACGGCCAGCATTTTTGTCCATTTGAACTATAACAGCTTCCTCTATCCAGTTATTCTGATTTTCGCCGGCTGACTTGGACGAGCTTTCGTCACCTTGGGCAATTGCAGCACCATTACACGAGGCCGGTTGAGCAGCGCCATTAGCATTTTGTTTTATGTCATCATTGAGAGGACCATGAGTAATATTTTGCTTAACCTCAGTAGCTATTATTTCGGTGAGCTGCATATTGTGCGTTTTTGAATCAGCCACTGGTATTTGTGTACTTGCTGAAGTCGTTGATATTTCAGTTGCTACCTCTCCAGCTGCATTCACAATGTTAAATGTCGCAGGTGGTTGTGATGCTGGATCATTACTAGATGGGAAGTCCTGTTGCTGCTGTAGTTGTACTGGGACAGTTGTCGGCGCCGTATTCAAATCATCGGTCCCACCAATACTATTTAATAAATTTTGGTTTTGAATAGCATCCGAAGCTACTGTCGACACAGAAACGCTAATCGGCGGGTTAATTGTGGTAGCCGCACTATAAATTTGCGGTTGTTGCCGTAGATTACCGTCCCCAGCGGCACATTCTTTGGATATGTTACTATTGAAGTCGTCTTTTATAACTATATTTGCATTTGCTGTTCTTTGCGCTTGTTGTTGCTTCGAATTTATTTGTGGCACTCGTTGGGATGGTTGGTGTGGTTGTTGCTGCTGGGATTGTTGTGAAACGGGCAGTTGCTGTTGAATACAGTCAGGGTTTTTAGCATGCACGCCTTCCTCTATAAGTTTGGTTGACTGAAGCAGGAGCTGATGCTGTTGTATAAGCTGTGGTTGCAAAGGTCTGTTATCACTTGGTTGAGTTCCTGCATTAAAAATTAATTTTTGATTACTGCTTTAAGAATATGTTTATTAAAACTTACTTTATTTTAAAATTATATTTCATAACTTTTCCAATAAATATGATCAAAATCAGTTATATGATAAACAGAGTTATCTAGATGAAGTGCTAAGTATGTAGAATAGATTGCAACGGTCGTCCATGAAGGATACACTTGGGCTCTGGACCATATATGATATCGAGTTGGGATTTGTACAAACCCCCCTCCCCTTAAAATCAGTTCGCACCTAGTATCAAAGTCGTTAAGTTTCTTATATCCATAGACCCGGGATCATCAAGTTCTTTGAAGTAGAATTTGTCTTTGCAAAATTTCGAATATGTGGCAACCTTATATATATATATATATCCATCGGGTTTTCGGAAACGGCTCTAACGATTTTGATTAATTTTGAACACAGACAATGTTTTGGATTTTAAGGTTATCTGAATAGGCATTATCTCCGAGAAGACTAGTATAAGGTCGCCACCTATTCGAAATTAGTTACAAATTAATTAAAACATCATAATCTGGTTACCAAATGGAAGGTTTTGAAAGATCCCTAATTCAAAAATATTTTTAAAAGGGTTTCCACCTATTTTGAATCGCATGTTTATTTAATTTTTTGTTTAGAAAAAAAAGGTAAACCAAAAGAAGGTTCTTAAACAATGCTTTCCCTTTATACAAAATGTTATCCCTTAGGATAATAGTGTAAGGTTTCCATTTATTTTCGATTCTACACAATTTATCTAAAACATCGCAATATGGATATCAAATGAAAGGTATTGTTGAGAACTTTGGTCAGAAAATAATTTCCATCAGGGTTACCACGCTTCTATGTTATACCAATTTTTATTTTATTAATATCAATCAGAATTTATTTTTATGTATAGCTAAACAGTACATATACGCTCAAGATATGTACTATTCATTCCAGCGTTAAGTTAGAAATTTACTTAAGAGATATCGAAATCCAATTTTTTTATTTTTTTATTCCGAAATATTTTTTTAAAGCTATCCAAATCTTGAAAACTTCAAAATTTATATGCACTCCGGGCAAAGTTCGGTCAACCTGGTACTTGAGCATTATCCTACTAAATTTTGATAACTATTATATTTAAATAAAGCGAAACTAACATGTAAAAAATACCCTTTGAAATCTTCATTAGTGATGTGATGAGTCCATACTTTTAAGTATTGATCAATACTCGGTACCGGTTTGCAAATTATCCAATACTTTCGATACTCGGTACCGATATGTTGAAATTTCTAATAAAGAGCTAATAACAGCCACAAATGTGGAATAAAACCAGTTAAGGGGAGCTTCGCTTATACAAATCCGAATGTAGTCAATAGTAGAGCCTTTAATCGTAAATGAAATAGTAAATGTATGTATATACATTTTCCGCATATGTTTTACGACAATTATGCAATAAAAACCGGAATGGGGACATCTCTAAAGCTTCTTACAGCGGTGCACCCAAATTCCATGTTCTCTTGTTCCAAAAATATACCCAACCAAAATTTTGAAGTACACTTTGGCTTGGAACTGACGTCGGCACAATGCAAATCGTAAAAAATGCTCTTTGAAGAGGGAACTACCATAGGTATTACGAATTAACGTCTAATGATGTTGTCACAGCAATCATTGCAGTTGGTAAGACTGTTGCAATAAGACCAAGAAGTCAACGAGAGTTTTGTTTGTGACGGTTGTGTTCGCCGCACGCGTTATGCTCTCTTAAATCCACATTGTTCATCTTTTAAGAAAAGCATCGTCTTATTTGTACTTTTTGTTTTATTAAATAAACTAGTAATATAGCAACGGAATATTTTTTTTCCAAACTTTAAATAAATATTAGGACGTAGGTTTAATGTGTTGAATCTGTATCGGATACCGAAATTTTTTTTAATTATTGGGTACCAACAATTCCACACATCACATCACATCGCACATGATCTTCAAAAGTGTCACCACTCAAAATTACACGTTCGTCAGAAAATACGAAAAACTATTTCGTAGCACATGCTAATCATATGGGCAAGGGAGACTTTACCTTAGGTTTTTTCAACAAATTACAACAAAAATTAGCTTCGGCTTTTTACTTTAGAAAATCGAGCGCGATATTTTCCTGGAATTCAATGGAAATTTGCGCAACACGTAAAACTGATAAGTATCTGCCCATTACACGCGATTGTGTTCCTATTACTACAATTTTATAGAAGCACTAGACAGTAAAGTTAATTAAATACTATTTGCTATGATAACGCCAAGATTTTTTCGGGCAAATTTTTTTTTTATGTGAAGATTTTTGTCCTAGTTAGACATTTTAAGGATAATTGAGTTATATTTTTTAATGCTTCCATAGAAGATTTCTAATTTTAGCTCAAATATTTGTTAATTATGACAGAATAGTAATGGGAGGAAAAAACTGGATGGACAAAGCCTTTGGGTTGAACCTTGACTAAGGGCACCGTATGTGTAACGTGGCCAGTATTTTGTGTAACGTTAACAGTGCCCAAATTTTATGAGAAAAAAATTTCAAAAACTTAAAATTGAGAACAATGGAGCATGCAGATGTCCTCTAGAATTCATTGCAGATGACGTGCTGAAAAACTAGCAATATTTGTTCGACCAGTTCACACAAACTTCAAACTTTCTCACACCATCCTTTATTGAACTTTCAAATAGTGCAACGTAGCCAGTGCACATTCGAATGCCCTATAACTTTGGTACCAAAGGAATTATTTATTTAACCCTTTATTTTATGGAAACATTATTTGACCATTCCTTATCATATCACCTAAAAAGCCGAGCGGTTTTCTGTTATTTAATGGACAATTGATTAATATTGTAAAAAATGTGTACGAATGTAACATTGCCAAACAAATAATCGACCATATAAGCCAATTAAATAGAAATATACAAGACCGCCCATGACAGTTGGTTCTACGGACCGTATGAATCGGGTTTTACCCCACCAAGGGCTGTCGTTTCGGCCATCTTACCCTGTTTAGATTGGTTTAATCTCTTAATCATTGTTCGCCCCTGGAGCCACACCTCATAGCGGTTCTACTCCGAATCCTCTGCTCAGGGCTGGCATTGACCCCCGGACAAGAGACCTTTATCTGCTGTGTATGCCAGAGAAGACTCCACACGAAATATACTTCGGCTAGGAGCGGATAGTCACTGCTAAGGCTTTAGGTCACATAAGGAGTGGACCACACGGTTTGTGGGTCCTTGTTGCTTAAGCCAAACGGCAACTAATGCCGGTGACTCCAAACACCTAAATATTCTCCAAGGATCCAAGGAGCTCACCTGAGCAACATAACTCCAACTCCGCCATCCAAAACTCCCGTGTGAGCCCAGAATACAGCGTAACGTGACATCAGTTAGGTGCAATTCCTGCCTTGGCTGGTGTCACTTTAAATTATGTTCTGGGTTGCGCACTACCCGAAAATGGACAAGGTCCCGCTTTACATCAGCTACCACAACAGCGGCTAGCATAACAGATGCCCGGTAGGCAACAGCACTCATCGCTAAACCTCAGAATCGCGGCCGGTCTCTAAATCCAAACAAAGGTACTACAACTTAACTGCAATGAACTCCAGAGCAAGATCGAGGGATAACCGTGTTCATGGGCCGACATTGAATATTGGTAACTGCGATCCAAGAAACGAAGCTGCACAACAACACAAATTTGTGGAGCTGCGCCAGATAATATATGCATCGTCACGATCGCGAGCGAGATAATGGTGGACGTTGATCCCTCATCCCACCGTGCATTATCATCTCGTCGATATAAACAGTGGGCGAAGCTGAAATTGCTGCCGGCTTCAACGCCATAGAATAGTACGCCACCATTGCCTTTGTGGAAGAGATTCTATAATGCTGGGTTTCCTGGGGCGGAGTGCTGATTTAATTCCAACACTGAGCCCGCGCTCACACATTGTCGAGGTTCCAGGCTGAGGTATTCGCAACCACTTTCTGTGCTTCTGGCCCGCCTTTGCAAGAATTAGGTATAAGGCATTTGGCCGAGATGTGTTGAGAGAACCCCAGCGAAAAATCGGTAATCGCTTTTAGTGGTAACGTGTTCTAGAACGCATTGCCTTATAATGTCTTCTAATTTTTTCACTTCTTATGGTATAGAATTCTTGAAAATCAATATTTTTCGATCGGAAAACTCTGGTTCTCTTCAAGAAACTTTCAATAATAATACCCAAATGTTTATTGAACCATTTTTTAATACTAATGATTTTTATTGGTCCGCCCATTGCATTTTTCGGGGTTTTAATGGGTTTTTGGCGGACCTTTAAATTATAGTTGCGATGAAAAAATGGTTAAATAAACAATTGGGTATTATTATTGGGAATCTCCTGCAGATAAACAGAGTTTTCCGGTAGAAAAAAATGCTTTTTAAGAATTATATACCGTTTCTACGATAAGTTGTTTTTCCCCCATATAAAATAAATGGAATACCTCTAAATATTTTTTGATTTCAAAATAAAAAATAGCGATATATTTTTTTCGGTATAGAACAATACTAGGTGGTGAGAGCATAAAAATTCCGACTTTACTTTTTCACATGCATTTTTGGGCCACCCTAATATGCATACCGATTTTTAAGGAAGATCTAAATAACTAAATACATATGTACATATGTATGTATAAAAACTGATTTATAAAAATTTTAATAAATAATTAATCTTTTAAGACAATCTGTATTTTCTGTTTTCAATTTAATATATGTATATAAGTATGTGCTTATCTATGCATTTTACTATAGTTTCTCTGCAAGGCATTCTTTCTTCGCTTCTTTGGATTCTGCTTATCCATGCGTTCTCCCTTCGTTCGAAGGTAATGCTGCGGGTAAGGGCTTACGGCCAATGACATGCCCATGTTAAAATAATGCCTTCTTCAAGCGAAAGGTAAGCGATTCCCATCGCCTAATTCGATTCCATTTTGATTTCTGTAGTAATCGTGTTTTTTGCTGGGACCCAAGAATCTGCTTAGGTTTATTCGTAAATCGTGCCGATTTAAAACTAATTAAAAGAGTCATGAAAACAGTACAATGGACGGTATATAGTCCGAATGCTGTTTTCTGCACGCGTGATTTTGTGCCAGATTCTGAAAAACGGCGTCTCATCGAAGCACACTTCGACCGCAGGGGTGAAAACTGTACGGTAGTGGGTGACTTTAACGCGCACCAAGATCATTGGCATTCAAGCCTGTCAAACAACCGTAGGGGGGCTAAGCCGTTAAACGATTTGACATTCTGACCAGTGAACGAAGACGCCCATTCAGGATTATAGGTAGCTGCTGTGGCTCGCCCGATATAACAATAGTAAGCCCTGATCTGATAAACCTGTCGACTTTGCTTCCGAGGAACACAGCACCTACATCAACTTTAGCAAAGCTGACTGAGACGACTTCGCGGAAGTTGCCGAGAGCACCGCGAATGCCACTGTCACTGACGCTGCAGCCGGCTTCATCCCTGCTGGACGCATAACGGAGTCCTGCCAAAAATCACCCATCCGAATGAGTGTGGCTACCTTCGCCAGGTCAATCAAAGTGACGAAACGGTACAAGCGGAAGAAGTGGAAAGAGCACCCGAAGACGAAGCACGATCACAGAGTGGAAATTTCATTCGGCGATCGCGCCTTGTTGGACCAGGAGCGATGTGCCCGCTATTTTAGCTGATTATTCGGTGGACAGGGCCAAGCGTTGAGTAACCAGAAGTCTACACAAGCTGCCAGTCCAGGTTGCCGTAGCGAAGGCAAAGCCCTCCAAAGACATTGGTCTCGTCTGAATATATAGAGTGATCCATCTAGACCTTTTTTATTTTAAATAAAACAGTTAAAACAGAGCTGGACGTCGAAATCTTTATTATTACCCGAGAGAACATTCTCTGACATTTACACTTAGGTGCAAAATTTACTATTTATTTGTTTTTCTGTAGTTCTTTGGCGAAATTTAAATGCATTTTTTTTTAATATACATTTATTAAAGTACTAGATTCCATCATAAAAATATTAAAAGTTCACGTTTTCATGTTTTATAATTTAACACATTGACTCAGTTTTGCACCCATATAATTTATATGAGATATTGCCACGCTGCAACCCATTTTCCTCCGGCGAAGTGTAAATTAATAAGTAAGTTGTTTTTTATTATTGAAATATCATGAGACGCTTTTTGAAAAAAAAATAATAATAAATAATAATACTGAAAAATCTTTGGGGGCTTTCAAGCTACTAACATGCAGATTGCAAAGAAAACGGTGGAGGGAAGCCGAAAATATCCGAGTAGAAGGAAGAGAAGTTAGGCGCTTAATAGCGTCTGACAGAATATATACCGCTAAAGAAGCTGTGGGGTGCGCTAGTGGAGGTGCTAGCATGTGAACCGTGCGAAGATTGCTTCATAAAGCAGGATTGAAGGCGATGGTGAAGAAAAAACGCCGCTTCTATCGGCAAACAACATTAGTCTCAGGCGAGAATTCGCATTCTTTGCACGGTCCATACGCTGGCTAGATTTTTCAATACATGTCTCATGGTATTTTTACAACAAAAAACACTTCGAAGGGGGAAAATTGGTTGCAGCGTGGCAATATCCCTTATAAATTATAAGGTGCAAAAATTAGTCAATGTGTTAAATAACAAAACATAAGGTTCATATAGGTTACTGAAATTTTAATATTGTTATGGTGGATTCCAGTGCCTTAAACTATACTTTAATATATACATATATAAAAAATGCATTAAAATTTTGTCAAAAAACTACCAAAAAATGCATAAATATATAATTTGTTTATCATTGACTCCATTTGGAACCTAAATGTATATTTTAAAAATAATTTCATTCAAATATTGGTCGCGACTACGCTGTAGGCGGTCAATTCGGAAGGTGCAATTTTCAATTATTCTTTCCAGTATTGCGCGAGCAAGGGCTTGTTCGAGTTGCAATCACAACCGCAGTGTTGCGCGAATTATTAAAGTATCACGTTTTGTGTGAATTTCTAGCAATGTATTATCAGATGGGCAGTTGCAACAATGTTGCCATTTTTCATCAGTACCGCAGTAATGCCGCTTTTATTACGTGCCTCGAACTGGCCCCAATTTCGACTTCCAAGTTTTGAATCATAGCTGGATGGATCACCCGATACATGTAAACACTGACCTGTCTTTAGCCATTCTACTCATTCCCGGCGTGTGCCTCCCAACAAAACGGGGATCTTACCGAAACACAGAGAACATGTTAATCCCCCAATTTCCATAACACCTGACCCCAGCGAAACATCAGCATGGTATCCGTACGTGCACTGCACAACAAAAACACTTAACGCCATAAACACTCAGACAACCCGTGACCTTAACCGACCCTATGAGAGAACAGTGCTAGAAGCGCCAGATTTGTATGAGATGTTTAACAACCTCTGTCACTCCACACAAATAGAAGACACAGTGGCCTCCACTCTCCCACACGTGCCCAGTAAGTGGCTATTGTCAAAAGGCAAAAGCGAAACAACCAAGAAGTTCAACTGGTGTACACAATCAATACGCTATCACCCGAGATTATATTAATCGCACAAGCATCCCTGGTCGATCATACTCGTCCCACTCAAGCTCTAAACTACATGAGCCTTCTCGATCTTCAAAATCCTGGTGCCCTAAATCGTTTACGCATACCCACCATAAACTGGACATCTCCAACGGACAAATTCAATCAGGCAATAGTTGCGATGAGTAACCCCTCCCCGCAAAACGCCTACACAAAAAATCTCCATTACAAGGGCTTCCCCTTAACCTCAAGTTTAAACCCATTCTCAAAGTACACTACTCTCCTTCCAGAACATACACTCATAGCAAAAATTATCATATATTAGAGCATCCACTTCTGCATTCTCCTTTGCCTCCTATCATTACAGGAAATGGACATCGATCACCACCCCATCATTGATAGCTAACAAAGCTCAGAGAGTATGCTGCTCGTCCCACCAATCACGCAGAACAGCATCCTTAATTATCACGGAATTTAAGAGGAAGCGAATACCCGAGGATCGCAAAATCTGCACAATGTACCATGTAGCGCACTCCTGCAGGGGGCCCCAGGATGTTGAAGACTCCGCTTCAATATGATTTCCGGCGCACCCTAACGTAGCCTACTCTCGCTGTACCAGTTGACTTAGCAGCATGATGAAGGCATTGCTAATAATACCATCAACGGGCGCGCACGGGTTTTATGTACATATAAATAAAGTACAAAATAAAATATATACATATGTCTAAATTAAAACCTTTTAAATAAATGTGGAAAAAATACAAAATTTAAACGCGAGTGCGTATTTACATCGGAGGAACCACCTCGCGTTTGAACAATTAGAAAATTTCAATTTAAAAATTAAAGCGCATTTCATTCTTTTTTTTTGGTACCTTTATCCACCTAACCTTAATAATGAGACAATATTGGTAGTGAAAAAAATGATGACCAATATAATTGAAGCAAGAATTAGTACTGGATGCGGCAAAGGAGATGTGTTTCTGCTAGAAGTCCCCCATACCTTCCATTTTAATTTAAAAATCTTCAGTATTCTCTGAGGCTTTGCTTTGACATGTGATTATATGTCGGATGCTAACGACATCCCGCAACAAAAATTTAAACGTATTGTTCATGAGGACGCCTTAAATTAAACAAGAAAGATACTTCGTCACCTTTAATTTATAGTAAACTGAAAATCTTTCTTACTGTTTTATATTTGTATTTGCTTAGCCCGAACGACGTTGGATGCTCGCATCACAAAATATATATAGGTACTTTTGCAACAAATGGTGCCGACAGATGGCGCTGATGTCGTCTTTGTCGTACGATCTGGATTAATGGGTATTATCTTTATAATAAGAACTGCTTCTGGAAAAAAATTTCCCCAAATACATAGAAGACGCTAGAATGATGATATTTAGATACCCCTCTACAAATTTATGGCCTTATTCTAAAAAAATAAAGTAGCTTTATAAAAGTTTTATAAATTCAAAAATGTATGAAAACGTTTATTTATAAATTTTTAAACCTACTTTATTTTTTATTAATAAGACCATTACTTTTTAGATGATTAATAAAGCCCCATCCTTTAAGCATACGTACAAAGAAGCTCAAAATTGTTTAAGCGCAACAGATATCCTAGGCACATCAACAGGTAATCGGTATATCAAGAAGTGTGACGAATTATAAAGAACACAGTAGGAATATCAATGACCCCATTTGAACGAGAAAAAGCTTTCATCCTGTGGCACAGCAGGATTTTGGAAGACGACTACGCACTCTTGGCCCACCTTGCAATATTTGCAGAGTTTTCCAAGGTGGAAATAAAGAGTTCATGCCATTGAACGAGATTCGTACATATGTATATCATGTTATTTCAGCGCTATTATTATTGGCTTATGAGTAAGGGAGGTTCCAGCTCTTCAGTCCTTACAACCTAAACTATTAATTTTTATATTACAAACCGTTTTGCATTTCAACGCCATTTTTGTATTGGTCAAGCAACGCAAAAGTTATTATCGGGCGCCGCGAAGAAAGCTGTGCATTTGCTAGTATGAAATAATAATAATAATAATACAATAGATTGGCGCTTACACACATGTTAGTGTTTGGCCGAGCTTCTCCTCCGAGTTGTGGCGTGCGCCTTGATGTTTTCACACAAAGTGGAGGAACCTACAGTTTTAAGCCGACTCCGAATGGTCGGAGAAGCTATGTTTTACGCGAAAAATTAGAAGGGCTGTTACGATTATAATAAAAATGCATCATGGTAGTATTTTTGTTATGCTAAATCTGAATATGCCATACAATTTTTAGTTTGACAGTTGACACATGTCAAATCAACTGCTAATTTCTCTAAAAATAAGAAAATCTTTTTGAAAATACTACTTAAGGTTTTTAGGCACGCTAGTCACGAATTTTGTGTGAAATTAAAAGTTTGACAGTCGACAGCTGTCAAACGGACTGCCAATTTTTATAACAATCAGAGAATCTTTTTAAAAACGTTAGTGATAAGGTTTTTAAACATGCTGATCACGAATTTTGCGTCAAATTAAAGCTTAGAGAGTTGACAGCTTTAAAATTGACTGATTTTTCTGAAAATAAGAATATGTTTTTAAATGCTACTGGTAGGGGTTTTAGACACGCTAGTCACGAATTTTACGTGAAATTAAAACCTTGAGATTCGACAGCCGTCGAATGGGCTGTCAATTTCTCTAAAAATAAGGAGAATTACCCAACGTACTAGGTTTTAAGGCTCACTGATCTCGAGTTCTATATTACATTCAAACTTATTCAGTTGAAATCTGTCAAATCAAATTTCATTTTTAGTTGAGTAACACAATATATCTCTTAAGAAAAATTACTGATTTATTGTATATCGAACATATTTAAAATGAATTTATGATCAAATTATGAATTAATAACAATAATCTATATATATATAATACGCGAAGGCATTTTTTGTGCAGCATAAAAGATCTGCACCGTTCGCTCAAATTAAAGCGCTTCGCCTGTAGATGTGGAAACTAGTTTTTTTTTTCAAAAGGAGTTGCCACCTGTCGGCCGCTGTGGTGTAGTGGTAATCAGTGCGCGCTTCCACTCCGCAACGCCTGGGTTCAAGCCCTGGTCAAAGCAACATCGCAAAAAAAAATATAGAAAAAAGGTTTTTTCTTAACAGCGGTCGTCCCTCGGCAGGCAATGGCAAACCTCCGAGTGTATTACTGCCATGAAAAACAGCTTCTCATAAAAATACAATCGCCGTTCAGAGTCGGCGTAAAACTGTAGGTCCCTCCGCTTTGTGTGACAACTTCAAGGCGCACGCCACAAATCGGAGGAGAAGCTCGGCCAAACACTAACATATGTGTAAGCGCCAATCTATTATTATTATTATTAGTTGCCACCTGATAAAAAATTGTATTCAAATAATTTAATAATCAATGCCATCATATCCACACCGTTCGTTAGATTTTCAAAAGTGAGGTGCCAAATCAAAGGGCTCTGGCTGTAGGTGTGGAATAAGGTTTAACTTTTTCGAAAACAGTTACCACCGTTTAAAAAATTAAGTTCAAACTATATATATAATACGCGAAGGCATTTTTTTGTTCTGGATAAAAGATCTGCACCGTTCGTTCGATTTTCAAAAATAGGGTGTCAAATTAAAGCGCTTAGCCTAGAGATGTGCAAACTGGTTTTATTTTTCCGAAAAGAGTTGCCACCTGTTGAACAATTGAATTAAAATTGTTTAATATTTAATACCATCAGATCCGTACCGTTCGTTCGATTTTCCAAAGTGAGGTGTCAAATCAAAGGGCTAAAGGGGCGGATGTTCAATAAGGTTTTACTTTTTCGAAAAGAGTTGCCACCAGTTATGAAATTAGGCACAAATTATTTAAAAAGGTAAATCAATTGTTCCAATATGGGTATCAAACGTAATGGTTTTGAAAAGGCTTTATATCTTAACTACGTGTCACATGTTTAAAAAATGTAATTCGATTTTAATTAAAGGAATTTGGTAAGTGAATAAGGTATCACTATATGGGTGTCAGACAAAAGAGGTTTAAGAGGTAGTAGTTTGTAAATATTTTGAAGAGGGCTGCCACATATTTGAGAAGTTGATTAAATTACTTTATACCCAAGTTGTATGAAATATTAAAAATGGATGTCAAATGAAAGAATTTTAAGAAATATTTAGTTAGACAATTTAGAATATTTTTGATGTGTTTGAGTGTTGCCCCAGATTAAAAAGTATAATAAAAATTGTCTAACAAATTAAATGAATTACTAAACGATGGTTACACAGCCACACAAAAAAAAATTTGTGTTCTGACCCAAAGGTCTCACTATGTGTACGTTATGTTTTTGGGGTCGCTGAATCCGAATCCGAGGTCCATTTAACCCCATCACATCAGGGTTTTGATATAACCCCAGAAAACCAATATGGCGGACACCTTTTGGAAAAATTCATCGGATTCGCTTGAAACTCGTTACTCGGGGGTTTTCGGGGTCGCTAATTACGAATATGATATTATTTTTTCAAAATTCAAAATGGCGGATCCAATATGGCGGACACATTTTTATAAAATTCATCGGATTCGCTTGAAAATCGTTACTCAGGGGTTTTGGGAGTCACCGATTACGAATTTGATGTCAGTTTTCGAAAATTCAAAATGGCGGATCCAATACAAAAAGTGTCCGCCATATTGGATCCGCCATTTTGAAGTTTCGAAAACTGACATCAAATTCGTAATCGGTAATCGTAACAGATGGCCCCAACTATCACCAGTTCACGTATGTTCAAACGTCTGCCAAACACCCTGTATTAACTAATATTACTGACAACAAATTAAAATAGAAATGAAATATTTTTTCACTCATCTCTGTCACTTTCAACAAAAACTGATGCGTTTTGAGTTGGTTCACGCAAAAGACTGATAACTTCTTCGGAAATGGCATCTGCTTTTCGAAGAGGGGGTCGTCTCTTACTAGATAAAACAGGATCAGATGTTATAATTAACATGTGAAATAAATCTTCGTTAGATTCCTTCCTGTTCATTTTTCGAGTGTTATGCTCGTGATACCATCTGAAGTCTTTGTTACGAGCCTCCTGGGCTTCCTCAGAAAAATGCCCGACTGGCAAAGGCATACCAAAGGCAATACCAAATATCATGAAAATTTAGTAATTTTTTAAATTCTTGGGCGCCATATTGGATACAGAAGAATGACAGATGTGTCCAGTAAGGAAGGGCGTAATATTCGGTAACGACAACTTCCGATAACATCCTTCGGAGTTGCCATGAATGCGAACCTCTAAATAGCAAATTTCAAAGAAATGCAATAATTTATTTAAATCTCGGACGCCATACTGGATTTTGAAATTTGAAGTTTGGCGTCAAAAGCTTTGCAGTTTTGTTGTTTTAAGTTTTGTTTTTTTTTTTTAATGCGAGTGACGAATATTTTTCGCATCACTTTAAAACTCAGAGCGATAAAAATAAAAATGATGACATCAACACAAACAAACTACATCACATACAAATTCACGAACATGTGAGGAGTTTATTTATTGCTCTTAAAAATATAACTCCTCAGAACGAGATAGTTCTTTCGTCGCTTTACGAGCTCTGTTTTTTAAACCTTGCAAGAGTGTAATCACATTATTTTAATAAATAGAACACAAGAAAATATTTTATTTTTATGTTTTCCACTCCAAATTTAGTTTTAGGACTCACCCGCGATGCAAAACCACACCACACCACCACACCACATTTTTTGATGAGCTTTGGGAATTAGATTTAATCTTCACATTTTCTGATGAGCTTTGGGAATATGTTAGAAATGAGTATCAGGGGGTCCACTGAAACCAGTACAGTTTTGAAAGGGGTCTACGAGAAAAATAAGTTTGGGAACCTCTGTTTTAGATCTCTCACTCTGTTTAGAATGATGCGCGTACAAACATACAGGCAGACAAACAAAAATTCTAAAAAATTGTTTATTTGGCTTCTGGTGCTCTAATAAAGACCAGTGCCTAGTTCCAAGTTTTAAAGTATCATAATTTTCTGGCAATGAGTTTTCCCGCAAACAAGCGTTGCTTAAAAGCAACACTGGCGAAATAAGTTGTCAATACTTCTTCTACTTCTGCTTTGCTGTTTGTTTCACAATTTTTCCGTTAACTTAGTAACAGTCGTTTCGTTTAAAACCGGAATTAAAAGTAAACCGATGGAACAAATCGAAACGAGCAAAGGCAGCAATAATGCAACCAAAGGTAATCAATACGTACAATCACGGAATGGAGGGTGTTGATCTACACAACAATGCTGTTGCCAACTACAGGATACGAATAAGAGGAAAAAAGTGGTGGTGGCTATTATGGACAAATGCATTGGGATCAGCTATAGTGACCGCATGGAAACTCAATTGTTTGATAAACAAACTTGTGCAACCAAAAACCCGTTCCATGTCACAACATGATTTCCGATCTTTTATTGCCAGGTCTCTATTGACTTACACTGAAGGTCCAGTATTACGTGATTCAGATGAAGATGTTGAAGAAATGAATCGCCCAATAAAATTACCGAGGTTAAATGAAAAATTCCATTCTGTTATTCTGCTTCCCGATGGTAAAAAGTTACGATGCAAAGTGTGCCACAAAACTTGCCGCTTTCAATGTAAGAAGTGCAATCTCACTTTGCATCCAAAGGAATGTTTTGAAAAATTCCATAGTTGAATAAATGCTACTGAAATATTTTAGTTATGTCGTTTAATATTTGAAATGGGCAATTTATGAATGTGTTGAATTTTTTAGAAAGATAACATATCTCGCCAGTGTTGCTTTAAAGAAACGGCGATTTTTAAACACTCATAGCAGATGTCGATATTATGTGAAACATAATCGTGGACATAAAATAGTTAGCATACTTTAGTATAGAAAATATTTCTTTGTTAATATTTTCAATAAATATGTTTTTCTTTTTTAACGGATTTAAAAAAAATATGTTAAAATTTGCGCTTTTTTTACTTGTAAGAGAAATATCGAAAAAAATAAAATTTTAAAAAATAATTATGCACGTTAAAAACCAAAAAGTTCAAATTTATAATGCGTAAGTTTGCCTTTAATATTGACTTAGGTTATTTTTTTACAATTTTTTAAAGTAAGCGTTTCTTAAAAGCAACGGTTGTGGTTAATGGATTAAAACGCCGATGAGCAATTTAAAATTGTAATCCACATTGTAGGTAGTCAGGCAGGTTCTGCAATTCACTTCCGAGTGAATTTCAATCTATTTCGCTTTGAATTCAAATTGACAGGGGTTGATATTCACTCGGAAGTGAATTGCAGAACCTGCCTGAGTCTGCTTACAATGTTGATTACAATTTGGAAACGAATACGTAACTGTAATAAACGCACGAAGAGTATTCGGTCACATACTTTCCAATTACAAACAAAACCAGTATATAAAGGACGCTAAAGGGCTGTTTCCAGCTCACAGGAAAAACGAAAAAATCATATAAAATGACGCACAAGAATTGGAAAAGAAATTTTCTTCTATAAAAATTTCTTAAATCAGTTTGCAGCTCTCAAGAAAAAAATATATCTATATATAAGATCTGCTTCATTTGAAATTTGGCAGCACTATACATAGCATAACTTTGTTATCGACTACTCGATCAGCCATTTATTTAGTGTGCTGATTCTNTATTATGGACAAATGCATTGGGATCAGCTATAGTGACCGCATGGAAACTCAATTGTTTGATAAACAAACTTGTGCAACCAAAAACCCGTTCCATGTCACAACATGATTTCCGATCTTTTATTGCCNATTTATTTAGTGTGCTGATTCTGCTATCGTTGTTTTTTATTACAGTTATTTTCATATGCGCAACTTTAAAAATAAGTGATGTGGAGAGCAAAGAACTTCAGCAAAGAAAAATGATTTTGGACTAATTCACGCAAAATCCACACATCTCCCAATGTCGGTTAGTAAAATTGCTGAAAATTGGAAGGTTGACGGTACAAAATGCATTGTCAAATATCAACAAAAATTGCAGCATTGAGAGAAAGGCGGAATCTGGCGGAAAATCAGGCACCATAAATAAAATAGTGGAGAAGGATGTTCCAAGGACTTTGAAAAGGAATCCGAATCCCTCTGAACGTGTTGTTGCACCTGGAATGTTGTTCTGAGAGCCTGTATTGTTTTGGCCTAATTTGGCAACAAGCCATTGTGCAAAAAAAGCGCAAGAGCTTTATACGCAAAATGGAATGAACATTGAACTAAAAGAGGCCAATCCTCCGAATTGCCCAGAGCTTCAAACGACCGAGCGTTATTGGGCCTATATGAAATCAAAATTAAAAAGAAACAAAATGCACACCTTCAAGAATAACGCAGTTCCATAGAAGGTGGCAAAAACAGGCTCAATCGATCAACGAAAGGGATGTCCAAGTATTAATGGCGGTTGTCATCTCTAAATTTCGGGTATTTTGGCGAGGAAATTGATTCTAAAAATATTTGTAAATCTTTCATCTAAATAGAAATAAAAGAAGGTTCCAAAAAAGTTTCGACTGAATTATTCATATTTAAATTAGGTCTTTTGTTACTTAATACCTGCCAGATTTCAACTGAAGCAGATCTTATATATATATATATACAGATGCGTGCAACTAATTAGCAACGAAATTCAAAACGATATTGCTTGCAAATTATGTTTATTTATTTATTTTTAATAATTTTCATTTAAAATATAATTCAATCTATATCAGAAACCACAATAACAAAAGTTGCAAAGCTTGCACAAATTGCAAAAAAATTAATCAAACTTCAAAAAATTGTCATCAAAATTTAAAANCAATCTATATCAGAAACCACAATAACAAAAGTTGCAAAGCTTGCACAAATTGCAAAAAAATTAATAAAACTTAAAAAAATCGTCATCAAAATTTCAAAATTTTTAATTAGAATATATAGAAAATGTTGGGGTATGCAGTTTTGTAGCCCATTCAATTTTAGTATAAAAAAGTGGAAGTTTCAAGTCGCTAAAAATTACCGTTGATTTTTTAGAATTTTTTTTTGTCGAGGGTGTTGCGGATTTTTTTCCATGTAAAAAAAATTTTGATCATGTGTTATATGGAAGAAAATGCGCAACACCCTCCACAAAAAAAAATTCTAAAAACTCAGCGGTAATGTTTAGCGACTTGAAACTTGCACTTTATTATACTAAAATTGAATGGGCTACAAAACTGCATACCCGAAAATTTTCTAAATAGTCTCATTAAAAATTTTTAAATTTTGATGACAATTTTTTGAAGTTTGATTAATTTTTTTGCAATTTGTGCAAGCTTTGCAACTTTTGTTATTGTGGTTTCTGATATAGATTGAATTATATTTTAAATGAAAATTATTAAAAATAAATAAGTAAACATAATTTGCAAGCAATATCGTTTTGAATTTCGTTGCTAATTAGTTGCACGCATCTGTATATATATATATGCCAAATGAACTTTTCTCTCAAAGTTTACACTGCTGGCAAATGTAAATAAGAATTAAAATTTAAAAACTAATTAATACAACTAAAGTAAAATGTGTGGAAAATTAACAATAAAATACTTTTTTCGCAAAATCTATAAAGGCCCCTTTTATTTCTCAAAAAAACCTGGGTAACAGTTATTCGTCGCCACGCTGTATATATAATATCATACAATCAGTGCAAATGCTATTTTTTAACACAATTTTTGAAATTTGTTCAATTTACTTTCACCATAAAATATGGAAACAAAAGCTTAACGCAAAATGAGATGCTGTTAGCTTAACCACAAATATAATTGTCATCACACAGCCGACTGTGTGTTAACAGTAAATAGTGACAAATATTGTTAAAGACGATACACAATCACTATATAAAGTTAACTAGATATAACCACATAAAATGTGGCTTAAATTAGATTCGGAATCGCTCTTCATATGTTTTTGGGGTCCCTGAACATGAATCTTTTCGTTTTTTTTTTAACCTCAAAAAACGTGGCGAAACTTTTAGATTCGTGTTCAGCGATCCTAAAAACATATTAAAACACCTAATCTGGTCAAAAAGAACCTTTCATAATTTTTACAACGCTTTTTTTGTAGTCCTGTGGTATTTATAATTTATTTTTTTTTTACATTACCGAGCTTGAAAAATGAGTTTCCATTTCATTTAATTATGTTTCAAGGTTCAAAAAGAAAAAGATGAAGTCGGTTAGATGAGTGTGCCACAACTTTATTTTTTTATTTTTTCCAAAGGTCGAAAATCAAAAGTTCGTGAGATATGCCCATATACACTTGTGGTTAGCTGATTAAGTTAAGTGACATTTCGACCAGTTTTCGTTATTTTTCTTTTGTTCATTTAATGTTTATAATTTTTTTTTATAAAATTCTAGCACATTACGTAAACAGCACCACATAAATCCACATTTCAAACTTCTTACAAAAATTATAAAAGTCTAACTTTAACAATTACACCCAAAAATTTTAAAGTTTTTATTCAAAATGTTAAAAAAAATTAGGTATACAGTTTTATAGCCCAGTTTTAAAACGCCAGAAAACCGCGTTAATTTTTAGTTATTTCTTTGGCTGACGGTGTTGAGCATTTTCTCCCACAAAATATGATCCAGAACTTGCAAAACATGTTTCGTCATGTCCAAAAACCCCGGAGGAAGACTGAAAGATGGAAACAATTATAGAAAAATAATTTTCTTACACTGTATTCATATGTTCACATTCAAATCAGTACCAAAATGCGGGTAAAAGTTTCGCCACGTTTTCTGAGAATAGAAAGAAATCTGACGTGATGGAGCAAAACGGACTCCAAAACATACTATAAAACACCAGTGGGGCTATTCTCAAACAAGTTAGCGACGAATATCGTATCGCTATCTCAACCTTGCACCATTCAAAACATACGTTGGCCAATTGCGATAGCGATCCGAAATTTGTCGCTAACCCGTTTGAGAATAGCCCCACTGGTCTGGTTTACTTACCCTTTCATCGATTTTTTTCGTGGTCCTGGGTAATTCATTAAAATTTGAAAACTTTTGCCTTGATAACTAGCTTAAACTTTGTTTGGACACTTACCGATATATGAACACATTATACAAGTGTAGAACAGTTTCTAGCATAAAACACACCGTCCACCTAACGATAAATAAGTGATTTTTTTCTTGAGTTTCTTTTCAGATAACAAATTTCCAATACTCTGCTTCTATTAGAGACACACTTTCAATTCTGGTGGATACATTACTTTAACGCCATTTTCAAAAATAATACCGTAAAAAGTTACGTAGAACAGGAAAACTTTGTTAAATTTTAATAATCCAGAGGCACAACTTTATTAACTTTTGTTTTAATATGATATATGAATGGCACACCTACGTGTAGTATATTTTTATAATAATTATACATTTAAGATTATTATACAAAAATATCAGTGCCAAAAGATATTCGGTAAAGGAAATACTCCGTGCAAAAGAAAAAAATCATCACTTTGAGTCATGGTGTTTTAGCTCGTTTTGGGACTGCAGCGAGCGGGTATTGTTTCAGATAGGATAAAACACTACAATAACTCTTATTATTATAATATATTTTCTTCTGAAAAATAGGTCAATTGCTTTGCATACGTACAAAGTAGAATGTCCCATAACGCCAAAGTACAAAATGTTGACAAAGTATACTTTCCAAAACGCATTCGAAAAGTTATCGAAACGCATCGCTAGAGTGCATCAGAAACAAAGTTGATGCTTCGTTTGTTTTTGGTTACCATTTCTGTTTTAAAAATGGAAAATTCAAAAAAATTGTTCATTGATAAATTGAATATTTAAAATATGTAATGTATAAGGTTGCAATGTGTCGCAACTCTACATATACAAACAGTTTGAATACCGCAGTATAACAGTTTCCAAACATTGTATTGATACGTTTTGGAAGTCAGCCATATTCAACAGAAATAGTGATTTTGACCATATACCTACAAAACTATGCATACTCACCAAAATCAAAAGTTCGTGAGATTTTTATGTACACACTTGTACAAATATGGACATTTATTTATGCGTCTTTAAACAACAAAACTTGCTTATATTCCTCTTCATGCCCTATACTAACATTTATAGATGCCTTATAAAGAAATGAGCTATAGAGTTTGAAAAGGACATGCATAAAGCAATTAACAAACAAGTAATTTTTAGGCAAAAAACCAAACCGACTTCAATTTTCATATAAAAATTTAAGATTATCGTTAATTTCTTCATGATTCAATGATCGGATTTAAACCACAGTTGAGGTAACACCTTCCCTTTAAAAAAGGAATTATGGAAATCGGTTAACGTTGTCCAAAGCAGAGTTGTGACAATTGCATTAATTTTTTAATGCATTAATGGTATTTAAAGCAGTAATGTTAATGTAAAAAAATTAATGCATTAATTTATGAAATTTGATGCAATTGAATATTTCAATGCATTAATTCTGAAAAATGTAATGCTAATGAAATTTTTTTTTTCATTAAATTATCCAAGCTAATGCTAATGAAAAAATTTTAATGCACTAAAATGTTTAATACTTTTGCTCGTTTGCATTATTAAAAACCATTAAATTTTTTTTTCTAGTGAAATATAAATAACCTTTCTTGGAAGGACTTGGAATAATTACTAATAGTTTTTTCAGCTTCATTATATTATGTGTATTTGTAGAAAAATTCTTCTAAACGTTGTTAGATGTTTTATGAAAATAAAAGCCAATGTGCATACAACTCAGAGTGCTTTTGTAGATTTTTATGTTGATTGTTGATGCATACCGATTACATATATTATGAGCAAAAAACGGACAGATAGCCAATTTAGCTGCGCATGTACACGACTGAGAACCTACTCTGATCTAAATCAATCAATAAACCGTTTTTTAGTTCCATTTGACAATGTGTTTTTACCTATTTAACGACAAATGCCATTGAACTTGACATAGTGAAAACCAGCCTTAACGTCCGTCACTATCTTTTTGACCTTAAAATTCTACCCTCAACATCAGCAAAGAATATTTACTTCAAAATGAAATTAGTTAATGGGTTTTTAATGCTTGTTATAATTTTAATGCAATAAATTATTGCAATAGCATTTAGTTAAACATTTTAATGTTAATACAAAAAAAATCATTAGCATTATTTCTTCGGAATTAATGCATTGAAATTTTCATTTACATTAAATATCAAAAATTAATGCATTAATCTTTTTCATTTACATTAAAATGCTATGCATTAAAAAATTTAATGCATTTTCACAACTCTGGTCCAAAGTTATGCGGTAACATACATAAAAAATAAAAATAAAAAATAAAATATTCCGACGAATTGAAAACCTTCTTTTTGTGAAGTCGGTTAAAAAAGCAAAGATAACACATCGCCTGAAGAAAAAACATGGAAAACATACATTTTTTAATAATAAATAAAATTTAACTACATATTGCTCATATATGTAATACTTCTATATTGGCAGTATCTACAAGTGCAGTCAGCAAACATTACAGTACAGATGTATAAACAAGTAATTTTTAGCAAAAAAAAAAAAACCGACTGCAACTCCCATATAAAAAAAAATATATATATACATATATCTCAAGATCCACTGATCGGATCTCAACCAGATTAGTATGCGACCACCTCTGAGTCACTACCTTTCCGATACAAAAATCGAAATCGGTTGACGTGGTCCAAAGTTATGCGGTAACATACATAAAAAAAAAAAAAAAATAAATATTCCGACGAACTGATAACCTCCTCCTTTTTTGGAAGTCGGTTAAAAAAAAAGAAAAGGAAAACCGAGTAATCGTATTTAAAATTTACACTTGAATTCAAAACAAATCGCAGTGGCGGATCTTTAAAAGAAACTTACAGGGAATTTTTGGTTTACATTTAATTTCACTAATTTTATAATAATAAATTAAATTATAGAAATGTCGCACTAGCGCCTTTTATGTGAAAAAACGAGCTTAATTAAATAAAATAGCTTTACATGCGTATTTTGGTACGTGGATAACTTGCGGAAATTTTTTTACTAAAAAGCTTGCAATTCTAATAAAACTTTCTGCATTTAATTTTTTCAGAAAGTTTTGAATTTGGATTTATATAGTTTTTGTTAGATTATGAGCTCTACTTTATAAAAATAAATAATTTTTAGCAAAAAAACCGACTTCAATTCTCATATAAAAAAATATATATATATATAAATATATATATAAATCGGTTGACATGGTCCAAAGTTATGCGGTAACATACATAAAAAACAAAAAAAATATTCCGACGAACTGATAACATCCTCATTTTTTGCTAGTCGGTTAAAAATAGCGAAATTTCAAATAAACATTGCGAATATTATATAAAGCTCAGCACAAATTTGAGTAGGTTAATATAGTTATTTATTCCTTTTTACCCGAATAGTGAGTAAATCCTTACTCAGTGAAAAATTGAGATATATGTTTGAGTTAAACATTCTAAAATAATAAATTGGTAACCATTGTAAAAATTTTTAAATCGGTTCTTTAATTTCCAGGTATTTAAAATAAAATATTAATACTTCATCATAAAGTTTCAGTTTTTATAAGCAAACATCGTCAACAAAGGGTCATAACCACCCCTGAGTAAAATAATCCAACCCCAAATTTATTTTCAGGTGCTACTGAGGACACGTCAAATTCGCCTGAATCTATTTGTCACATATATTCACAGATACTAAAGGCCACAGTATACAGTAAACCTGCCGTTGACAATATGCTTATTTGAAAATTAATACATGAAATATTGTGAATGTATAGGATTTTTTTGTCATTAACCCATAGGCAACGACTGATGCAAAAGTACCCACAAACGTTTGTTGATATATTTGAAAAGTAAATTTGGACAGCAAAATTCGTAAAAAAAAAACGAATAATAAAACAAAAATATGTTTGATAACTACGTGGGAGGTTGGCGTGGTTATTGGCAGATTTCGCCAAAATTTAACACTAACCTAAATTATACCAAAGGCAACTTCGAGGCCGACTTTCGTTAAAATATCTAAATTTTGTTCGAGTTAGCGTATTTACAAACAGAGAGGGCTGAACCAATTCGTGTTGTCATTCTGAATATTTTGATATAATATGTATGCATATGTGTATATATGTACATACATTTTATACGGTTAACAAAAGCGTTTGCTTATCTGCATAAACCGTCTTTACTTGCATTAATTCATGCATTATCCTCTTTCAAATGTGAATAAGCTGCTGAACAAATACATACAAATTTCGTGCATTTGAAAATAAGAGTTCGACCTTAAGCAAAGTAATACTTGTTTTACCGCCTAATCGATGGGACCATTTTACAAAGTCAGCCTACCACTATTCACTCAAAGTTGTGTTCGGAACATGGTTTGACTTATATAGGAACTGCATCCTGTCATAATCGCTTACGCTTCACGCTTGATTTGCTTGGAATTGGGTTTTTCTCGTTATTTTATTTGATGTGACTTGAAAAATTTTTCAATATAAGAAAATAATTAAATTGGATTTCATTTGGGTTAACGAAAACGACAACTGTGAAAAAATATCAACCAATACATTCAAACAAAATGTCAAATAAGCATATTTACATTTTTTGTTTTGGCTATCTGGATTACTGTATACTGTGCTAAAGGCTGGTTTTCACTATGTCAAATTCAGCGGCATTTGTCGTCAAATAAGTGAAAACACATTGTCAAATGGGATTAAAAAGCGGTTTATCAATTGATTTCGATCACGATAGACTTTAGTCGTGTACATGTGCTGCTAAATCGGCTATCTGTCAGTTTTTGGCCCATAATATTATCGGTAAAGGTATAGATAAACGAGATAAGGTTGTGTCAAAATATGTCCCCAAATTTTGGCGTCAAAATATGACATAGTGAAAACTAGTCTTAATACATGGGAAACCTGCGCATGCGCAAAACATACATTTGGCTCACAACTATCTCCCTTTGATTGCTGAATCCACATTGCGCGGATAGGTTAGTGCCAATATAGAAGTATTAAATATATGATATTGCTCGTTAGTTTAGTTTTAGTAATTCATTGGATTTTTATTTTTATTTATTTGTAATTTTTATCTTTATATCTTTTATAAACAACGTAGGCATTAACACCATTTTGGCTATGTTATAAGCCGGTTCTATTTTTTTAATATTTTAAAACAAGCTATGGTAATATGCAATAAGATGTAAATACCTATAATTGGGTCATTCCATTGAAAAGAGGAAAACGACATAAATATAAATATGCCTTAATTATCTCTATTTCAGTAGTAACCTCTTTTTGAATGACTATATTTCATTAACCTGTGGGAGAATATAAAAAAATCAAAAGATGTTGTAGTTTTTGTCTATGGAAACTTTTATTTCATGCATAATTACTTTTCACCAGTCACAGGGAGATGTCCCACCAGTCACAACTTTAAATATTTTTAAATATTTCTATGAAGATTATATAAACCTCATTTATATTGAAAACGAAAGCGTATAATTCATATTTTACAACACAAATACATCGCTCGTGAAAATTAAGTGTTTTGGCTAAAATTCATCTTTGAGTGCGCAAGGGTAAAATAGAGTTCTTTTCAGTGTCCCACCAGTCACATTCAATCAAACACTGAAAATAAAATCTGCGTAAATATAACGACAACTTGCGTACACCTTACGAAATGTTTCGTCATTTTGAGCAACGAAAGTTTTCGTTGATTATACAAAACGGTTTTCGTACATACTACGAAAATATGACACATCATCGTACTATTTGCTAAAGAATTTCGTAATATTTACTAAAGAATTTCGTGCAATTTCTTTGTTTTTTACGAAATTTTTGTAAAATGCACAAAAATAATTCGTATATTTAACAAAATTATTTTGGTAAAATCTGCGCTGGTTTCGTAGAATTTGTGATTGCTTAAATTCTCCACACTGTAAAAAATATAGTACGAATTATAACACACCACTTTTATTTTGTTTTTATCGTTAATTTTAAGCGTTTTTGTTTGACAAAATGTTTTGCAAAAACGCTTAACATTAATGATTAAAATATAATGCTAGTGTCGTGTTATAATTTGGTCTATGTTTTCTATAGTGTAAAGAATAAATGTAATCATACATTCTTTGAAAGAAGTGCAGATATTACAAGCATAATAATAATAATAGATTGGCGCTTACACATATGTTAGTGTTTGGCCGAGCTTCTCCTCCGATTTGTGGCGTGCGCCTTGATGTTGTCACATAAAGGCGACAGTTTTACGCCGTCTCCGAACGGCGATTGTATTTTTATGAGAAGCCGTTTTGCATGGCAGAAATACACTCGGAGGTTTGCCATTGCCTGCCGAGGGGCGACCGCTGTTAAGAAAAACCGTTTTTTCTATATTTTTTGCGATGTTGCACACTGCTTACCACTAAACCAGTTAAATCGTATGCAATTGTCGGAAAATTGAGCCAGTTAAATAATTTATTTCGTTTGAAAACCCTTTCAGTGCAGAGTTGTTATACAACTATCTGCTTCAGCCAATCAGAAAGAGCCAAAAGCTATCCTTTAGCACGCCAACGTTAAAAAAAATGTATTCTCTAAAATATTTAAAACTAAAAATTATCAAAAAATATCAAAATTGTATGCATGTCTGCCCGTCAAAAAAGAGACCAAGGCGAGAACTAGTTATTTCTCATCAGGCCTCATCGTACGCAGAGATAAATAATGCATACGAACTTAACATTTTGAAGTCTCTATTATAAAGCAAACATACGCACAAAACAAAATTTAAACAAAAAAAAATGGATTTTGAATATTTTTTTTTAATTTTTATTTGAAATCAAACAACCGTTAAAATTAACACCAAATATTCAATGTGAACGATTGTGTTTTACAAAATGCTCTTTTTCATTTAACAAGTTAAATGGGGCCAATTTGAACGTAATATAAGTTAACAATGATTTAACTAAACGCTGTGAATCCGGCCCTTAATCTTCTATCTTCTATCTATCTATACTATAATAAAACTGCAATTGTTTGTCTGTTTGAACTCACTAATCTCCGGAACTATGGAATGGATTTTCATGGGGCTTTAACTGGTATATAGGGAGTGACCTCGGACGTAACATAGGGTATAAAAAGATTATAGAAGAAGATTCCGCACTCTCGGCAAACCTTGCAATACTTGCAGATATCTCACAGGTGGAAATACGAGCTCACAGCATCGAAGAAGATTAGTCCTTAACCCAAATGTTATTTCAGTGCCATTATTCTTGGCCTATTAGTAAGCAGGGTTCTGCTCTTCAGTCCTTTTAACCTAAACTAATAATTTTTACCAGAGATCGAAAATAACCCTCACCACTTGTTATGTATGGTGTTTACTACTGACACAAACACTCATCTCTCAAACAAACAGTGTTTCTCACAGTGGCAAATCACTCTGTGCGATCTTTTTGAGTTTTCTGTTGTGGGGTATTTATCAACTGATTAAATTTCCCCTTAGGCAAAGACACTTTGGCAGAGACTTTTATTTATAAGTGTCTTAATTTGTGGGTTATTGAAAGACTGAAAAATATTAGTGGACGTACATAAGAGGAAGCAAAGCGTTAGGCATTTCTTTACACGACATATCGAGCCCTAACCGCCAAAATAACGTTAGCGACATTTTTTTCAAAATTTTATTTTTGATGCAGAAATGCATCTAGATGCTCTAGGAATATTTCTGCATCAAAAAGAAAATTAAAAAAAAAAATGTCGCTTACGTTATTTTGGCGGTTAGGGCTCGATATACATTCACATACATGTGCGAACATTTATGACAAAGAAGAGAGCGTGCACATTCATAATATGACACACTGAAAATAGCAATTTTATTATATTGAAGAAGAAAAGGATAAAGGCAAACGTAAAAATAAAAACAAAAATAAAGATGTCTAAAGATAAATGCAAAAATGAATATCAAGGTAAATTTAAACACATTCTTATATAAGGGCAAAGGTGAAGGAGAATATGTAGATGAAGAAAATGATACGCATAAACGTTAAAACAAGGATAAATATTAAGAAAAAGATGAGGATGAGGATACCGATAAAAGTAAAGAAAATGGTATAGATACACAGAGACTAAACCAGGGAACTATTTTGGGATTTTCGGTATTCTCGGGTTTTATGGATATAATAATCGATATTTTTATGGAATTTGTTATCGATTTAGGTATCGATTTTATTATCGATTTGGGTATCGATTTTACTATCGATATTTTTATTGACCTTGTTATCGATATTTTTATCGATTTTGTTATCGGTTTTGTTATCGATTTGGGTATTGATTTTATTATCGTATTTTTATAGATTTTGATAGTTTTTGTCATCGATTTGGGTATCAATATTTTTATTGATTTTCGGTACTATTCGGGATTTTCGGAATCTTCAGGACTACTTCGGGATTTTCGGGACTTATTCGGGATTTTCGAGACTCTTTTGACCTCTTCGGAAGAAGTCTCGAAAATCCCGAATTAGTCCCGAGGATCCCGAAAATCCCAAAGTAGTCTCGAAAATAACGAAATAGTCCAAAAATTGTGAAATAGTCCAAAAATCCCGAAGTAGTCCGGAAGATTCCGATAATCCCTAGAAAGTCTCGAAAATCCCGAATTAGTCCCGAGGATCCCCTAAAATATCAAAGTAGTCTCAAAAATCACGAAAAGGCAAAAAATCCCGAAGTAGTCCCGAAGATTCCGAAAATCCCGGAGAAGTCTCGGAAATCCCCAATTAGTCCCGAGGATCCCGAAAATCTCTAAATAGTCCAAAAATCCCGAAATAGTCCGAAAATCCTCAAGAAGTCTCGAAACTCCCCAGTTAGTTCCGAGGATCTCGAAAATCTCAAAGTAGTCTCGAAAATCCCGAAATAGTCCAAAAATTCTGAAATAGTCCAAAGATCCCGAAGATTCCGAAAATCCTGAAGAAGGCTCGAAAATCCCGAATTAGTTCCAAAAATCCTAAAGATTTTCGTAGAACTGGAAGTTGGAAGATGATGAATATCTTACTTGCGTTGCATAACAAAAATATTATTTAATTGAAAAATTACAAATCAAATTGATTCGATCTACAAATCAAATCACAATTTTTTATTTTTTATTTGGTTGACAAATCAAATCACAAATAAATTTTATTTTTTATTTGGTGCACAAACCCATTCACAGAACAAATATATTTCTTAATTGATAGCGGATTTTAAATCAATACGTGACAGAGAAAATCCGAGTTGTTTTTTGAGGTTAGGAAAAAATCCAGACGCGATGGAGCAAAACGGACTTCAGATTCGTGTTCAGCGACCCCAAAAACATATAACAGACTAGGTTTGGTCAAATGAACCTTTCATCGATTTTTTTTTTTTGTGGACCTGTGTTATCCATGTGGCCACTCACTCTTATTAAATACGAAATATTATTATCGGCGGTGTCACGGGCCAAAAGCAGTTATCCAAATGTTAGTCAAGCCATTGGAGTCTAACCAATATATATAAAAAAAATTGGAAAGGAATCCTGTTCCACTAAAATGATGTTGGACTTCCCAAGAAATCATTATAGATCAAATAAAAATTGGAATTGGACTTAAAATTACGCTAAATTCATCATCATTATGGCATTCATCATATGTGCCATCGCTTATATTTCTAAGAATAAAGCTTATATCAGCCAAAAAGAGAATTGAGAATTTGACTTGGAATTTTGTTTTACTTGCTGAAGTGACAACTACGTTCGGGAATCTCGCGAAGTGACACACACAAGCAGACAAAGAAGCCATCTGAGTATGTGGCCAAGTGACTCTGTTTCGCGGCCTGCTGCATGTTAAAAAAAAACATATATATATATATATATATGTATATATATATATTCAGAACTTTTTATTCTGCTGATTGTTTAGGACTGCTTCTAGAATTTTGACTACAGTGCTTCATATACACACGTGCATATATACATATATAAATATGTATGTACATATGTATAAATATATGGCAGAGCTGGCCATTTCATAGGCACGCGTGCCAAATTTTTCAATTCTGCTTTTACACATACACTAACGTACTCTATGAATCAGAGATGCCTATACCTACCCAGCCAGCGAAAATCCCGAAAATGGATCCTGAAAAGGACAAAAAGTTTACCGATTCCATTTTCGGGTACTTTGTCGATCCGGTTTTCGACTAAAGTGTGTGGCAGAAACGTATGTACAGACAAGTATTGAACATTTTAGTGAAACGGATATGTTTTTGCCTGATTTTCTGAAATATTTCTTATTCGATTTTTCGCTCGCTATGCTTTCCTTTACAGAAGCCTTTTCATTGTTGGAAAAAAAAATCAGGAAGCACCTTCCGAAAGCTAAGAAGTACTAGAACGCTCCTCTGCACTTTCAGCCACTAACGACTACGTATATATGCATTCAAATGTTCAGCTTGAACAACTAAAATACAATTATTATGATTTTTAGGAGGGGTAACAGAGTTCCTTCTTGTTATAGCAGGAACTTTGGTAATGATCCCATTGAGATTGTGAACGAATACAAATACCTCCGTGTCACTCTCAACTATAAACTCACTTATGTCAAGCATTTAGAAGAAAAACTACTAGTATCAAAAAGTCCATCAACGCTACCTGACTAGAATACATTAATAATCCAAACATCTGTGTATCTAAAAAATTTAAAATTTTCGACGCAGCTGTAAGATCGATCCTATTTTATGGAGCACAAATATGAGGTATAAATAAACATGAATCGGTATAGAAGCTCCTGTGGGTTTTTATTAAGATGCTCATATATTTGCTCTCAAACACACCCAATTATATGATTCATCTGGAAACTAAGCTACTTCCACTATATTTTCATACTCTGAGTGTCCACATGTTGTTCATCTCCAGGTGTTTTAAGCTTGCCGGACTGCAGACTACCATGCATTCTGGCCAAGGAGGCGGTGAGACAAAATGCGTGTTGGGTAGCTAAGTGGCACAGTATAGCAAACAGCGCAAATATTGAACCATTGAAAGAATTTAATGCTTGAGAAACTCGATATACATATAAAAACATGCGGTTAGACTGATTTAGGGAGACGGTTTTGAATCTGGCTAAAGTAATAAACATTTTAAATGGCTGAGATTACAGAGCTTTGTACACTTACTCATCACACTGTTTAAAGTATAGGGAGTTAATTTTAAAGGAATTCTCATAAACCACACTAATTCTTATTTACTTTTTCTTCTTCTTAGTCTTTAAGCTGCCAGTATAATTTCCGACCTATTATTTATAAATATTAAACAATAATTGTACCTGAATAATAAAATAAAGAAAATTTTACCACTAACATTATATTTTTCGAACGTTCCGTCGTTTTCAGATATGAAAGCGCGCTGTTTTTTCAACGTTTTTGGATACGAATTGATACGAATTGTAGTAGTTTTCTGTTCGTTTCCGGACAATTCCGGACGGCAAAATTTACGTCACTTTGTTGGCTCGGTATTCTCATGCTCTGACCGTGTTCTATCGATTCGCACCTTTCAAGCAATCAAGTCAAAGCAAGCCTCGGTAAAGATGCTCATTATAGATTGGGAGGTCGATTTTTTACTCTTTAGTAATGGGAAGGGAGGGGCAGAATGTTTGGTGTGTCATAAGGAAATCGGACGCGCGATACAATTTTTTGTTAAGCTCCATTACAGCACATTCCATGGCACTGAATATCATGGTTTTGCGTTTGAAAGGGTCGTTGAAACCAGTATGTTCCAATAAAAATTTAGAAAGAAATAGGAGCAAAGAAGTTAAAGCAGCATCTTATATGGTCGCTATAGGTGTAGCAAAACGATGCCGTCCATATATAGACGGAATCTTTTTTAAGGACCTTTGTAAAAGATACTTTTAAATATTTTGGGAAACAAAGAGAAAAGTTCGCAAAAATATTCAATGCGATTTCTCTATCAACACCAGTGTACAGGGCAAAAAGCGCAGTTTCTGAAAGAATTACCCTTTTTAATGAAATTCGTGAAATCGACTTAAAAAAAATATATATTTTATTTTAACAGAGATCTTGTCAAAAGTATCAAAAAAAAAGAATCCTCCATTGGCGGTAGATCGCCCTGATCAAAACACATTTTAACTCGACAGAAGCAAAAAATAAATAGATATTTATTATATTATGACGTAAATAGAGATATATATTTTTATAATTTTGAGCTTTTATATTTACATACTTAAAACTCCCTTTACATTTAATTTAAAATCAGAAGTAAATACATTTTTAACTTTTTGCTTTAATTCTAATTTAAATGTTGATAAAAAAGTTAAGCATGAAACTAATGTGAATTAAACTTTATTAAAAGTTTAATTTAAACTTTATTAAAAGTTTAATTCCTTAATATAATCACTACCTTTCACAATATTTACATAATAAAAAAATACCCTTCTTATATTTTGCAACTCAAATTCGTTGTCAACTCTGTTTGCATCAGACACATGAGCGACTTGTTCTTCTTCATTCTCTCGTCGTTTAGCAAAATTTAAATATGTGATTGGGTGAGTTTTGGCCAGGTCTGATGTACAGACATATGACAACATTGGGCATACATATGCATTTAGAAAATAACTACCTACTAATACAAAGAGATGAGAACATGCGCACTGTTGTGATTTTTTTTTCTATTTCTTTACATGGTGCGAAATTTAATATCTTGACACAATTGAAAATAATTGAAAACTGCCTAAAAGTTTTTCGACATGCATAAATTATATTACGAAATGTAAATATTTTTGGGAACTTGTAATGAAAGTAATAAATATTTCAAATGGAAACTGGTAAGTAAAAACACATCATTTACGTCATATCCATCAATTTAATGTCAATCTTTTGGAATCAATCTCTAAGAAAAATCTTGTAAACCACACCGATTTCAAATCATACGATTTTCGGAACATGCCCGATAAGCAGTATATATATGACAACACCCTCGTTCAATATAAAACACACTTGTTGACTTCGACCTTTCCTACCATACAATACATAGCATACCACATATGCGTGATTGCATAAATTACGGGTAAATTATTAAAAATTCAACTAATTCATGTACACATGCCGGTATATCATTGTTTACAATTATTATTTTCCTCTTCTGAGAAGATAAGTATTCACATTAGTTTGGGGTTTCTTGGTTGGTTTTTATATTATTTTTTAACTTTGATGCGTTAATGCTCCATCTACCTTAACTTTTGTTTTATTATATATTGTAAACTCTTTTATTGCATATGTAATTGAATTAGAACTTCATAATATTTTTACAGTATAAGTCCCGAACAACATACTTATACACGCACTTTTATTTCACAGCCAATAATTATAAAATCTTCATAGAAGCCGTAGAAATTTAGTTATTTTGTAAAACAAATATTTTTATAAACAAATAAATATTATAAATAGTAATGAGAACAACATAGACTAACTGGCACAACACGGGAATATCAGTGTGCATGCCGTGCACAAAGATTTCTAATACCAGCCTCGCACATGTTCTTTCGCTTTTGACATATTTCCATATTTTGGCGTTTCTTCAACCTTGTTTATCACCATGTCCTATTGTACACGTTCCTTGTGGGCATACATATGTACGCACATGAATATGAGTAAATGCACATGTGACATTACCGGCGTCTACACCGTCTCTTGTATTGGTGTGTTTGAGTGTACACGTGAACGTAGTGAACTACAAGCGTTGCCACTTAGATAATGTGCCGTAATTTTTCGGTATTGTTTGGTAAATCTGTTTTAACTTATTGATGAAACAACTGTGCAATATAAGGGAAACTTCGAGTTCACCTTCGCATTGTTAGTCTTGATCATGTGCGTTTATAAAAAAGCTAACATACTATATAATGAAAATAAAATAACATTAATAAGTATTTAAAAAACATTAATATTAACTGTCAAATATTATTTAAGATATAAGTTAAAGTGTTAATAATGTAAGAGCTGCATATACATACATACATAAAACCAGTATCTACCAAAGCAATAAATCGCATATGATAACCGGCAGTGTGTGTATTTGAGTATGTACCCTGCAGGGAAAGATGCAGTTGCTTTTCAAATGAACTAGTTTGTCTTCCATCATTTTTATTTAGGAGAAATTGGTTGTTTATTGTCCGGATATTCGTCTGCACTAACCATTAGTAATGCCAGTATCGTTCCCATAATAATTTTGCTAATTTTTTCCACAAAGGCTAACAGATCTTAAAACCTTCTTAAATGATCCTAGATGTATTAACCTTGAAACAGCATCCTTCTAGTAACATCACACATTTGTAGGATACTTTTCTCGAGATGTTTACCCCACAAAATTGGTTACAAAAAATTCGTTACATTTTCGTATAATAAAGTACAAGTTTGAAGTAGATAGGACTTACCGTTACCGTATAAAATAAATTAATTACCAGGACAATTGATCAAAAAAGAACTGTCCCATATAATACAGTACGGATGGTCACCGTATGTATAACGCACATTATTTAACCCAAATACGTCCACATTAAAGTGAAACGTTCGTTTTGCACTTTACGGATGCTAATTAATACACACCAAAAAAATTTAATTTGCACGTTGCCTGCAATGGGATTTGAACCCTGACCATCCGAAATCTTGAAATTAACAAATTGTGTGGCTACAGCCAGACATGGAAATGTGCTTTAAACTGTTGAGTTTAAATCAACACCACAGCACGCGATTAGTGCTCCGATATATATATGCATTCAACATACCTGCACATTAGCGATACCTGGCTTATCGTGCAACTATTATCAATTATCAAAGAAAGTATTACGTTTATCTGCACTGGCTCTACACTTACCCTAATTTTAATAGCTTTTATTTATTTTGCTCATCCTGCAGAACAACGAAAACGGCAATAATTTTTTGTAGTTATATAAATAATTAGATACCATTCGGAAAAAATTTTGCTTACAGTCATTTCTACGTGGTAAGTGCTCCTCCCTTATTTGGTTTCATAGGGATTCGGATACTTTCCCCCATTGAAGTAGTAAAGAAAATTCGCTTCAGTGCTCTTTTCGGTTAAGGGCACAAGTTTTTCGTGTAAAGAAGGATGGGCAGCTAAGAAAAATATACTCTACGTGATTATTTAAATTGCGTAGTAATACAAATTATTTGATTTTACTTTGCGTTATTTCCATCAGTGCACGACAGTCGGTTATACGTAACCGGAACGACTCAAATTCATATCTGGCCAAGGACTGCCACTTCAACATCATTCCCCAAAAACTTTGGGGTATTTTCGATGTTACAACAACAACAGCAATACCAGTATAATCCTACCAGTTGACACATCATTTCATACCAGTTAATGAACTATACGATTTCTACCAATTGATTTACTAGAACTTTTACTGGCTGGTTTGACTTTTCACTGCAGGGTATTTGTGCATGTACTTATATACCATCCCATACATATGAATGCACACAACAAGCCGTGCCACTGGGCGATGATACATATGTATGACTCAGTTAGCAAATACTACGCTATCACCATTCATAATGGCAAACATTTCATGCTGTCACGCTAATAGCGCTCTTACACGATATGTATTTTCAAATGTAAATGCTACTTTTCTAAAACATTCTAATAATACATACGAGTGGATAGAAAAAAGTAGCATTTACATATGCAAATACACATCGTGTAAGAGCGCTGTAACCGATGATGTGCATAAGTACCATTGTACAGGCTTAACTGCAAGTATGGGAAGCGCCATTTTGTTTGTTTACATTTGGAAACAGCTGAGATCACCTGATTTCTAATTCTCTCATTCTCCACACAGAGTTCCATTCAAGATTAGAGATAAGAACTTTGAAATGTTAAGTAAGAATAATGTGTTTTTATTCTTTTCAGTTGATAAGAAATATTAAACCATGCCAAGTCTTGCATTTCCAATAATAATGATAAATGTGCATGTTCCAGGCAATGATTTAAAATATTTGCTAAGCTTATCGTTTTGCGCTAAAATACAACAATGTGTGTGAAAATCGTTGTTATTCTTTCTCTTTTGAACATCATATTCGTCGTGCCAGCGGGTTGAAAAATTGGGTTAATTTGCAATTACTTTTGTCAAAATATTATTGGGTGGTTCACAAGGTGTCGTACTTGTCGTATTGTTGTATGTTTTAAAGTTTTTAACGGCTAAATAAATGTTTAGAGGACTTGAAATCACTACCAACTATTTTTTAATTGTGTGTAATTTCATAATAAAACTTTTATGTTAGCTTGCGAATTCCCCAAATATTGTTTTAGCCGTTTGAAGTTTATGACATACAACAGTACGACAGTATACAACACCTTGTGAACTCCCTATATAAATCCGATATTTTTCAATATATTTCTTTCCAGAGCGATATTTAAATGCACAGGTGGAGTGCTCTAAGCAACTGCAGCCAGTCTTCTTCTTCATTAAGATGAATTGCTGGCCAAATGCTCTTCCTTAGTTTTAATGCGCATTTTCGAACTCGGGAAATCTCATATTAGTAGAATTCCGTGATGACGAAATTCATGGGATTTTTATTGAAGGTATACATACCGTTCTTCAACGTAACCGTAAACACTGAAGATGCACATGTAACCAGACGCACATTTGCGGGTATACACACTGGTGCTGTGTTTTCATGTGAAGGATGACATGATACGTAACTCATTTTGCTTCCGAGAATCTAACTTAAACTCGTTTTCTGAGTTGGCAGCACTGTCAAATAAAGTTCGACTGAACAGCTGAAAAGCAAAATAGTGAGCTGCCACTAGATACGCACAAAACGCACCGATTTAATTTCAATGGATTTCCTGCAATCACATTACAAAATCTTACTTAAAGAAAGCGTTTTGAAGAAAACGCATTTTAATTGGTAATTTTTGACATTAAATAATGAAGAAGACATTAAAATTCCAAAACATTTGCTTATTTTGTTAAATAAAAAAGTTCTCCAAAATTTACTCAATAAATCTCCCAATATGTATTTCACTGCTGTGGAAATATTGGGGGATGTTATAAAAATGCACCTTTTCACAGCGCTCTCACGAGAGAAAGAGTTTCGTATTATGTTATTTTTGTTCATGTTATTTGCACAAATGAAAGTGTTTATCAAGAAAAAGTCGTAGTTGTTGGTTTAGCGGCACTACTAAGGCCCGCCTCAGTCGGGATATCCTTTAACAACAACAACAACGAGAATTAGTTGTAGTAGTACATTGCTCTTTCCATATTAATATTATTAAACAATTAAGGTTCGGTGAATTTTTCAAGCAGGTTGGAGGGTTACTTGCTGCAATTGTTAAAGTATTAAGATGAAGAAGTATTAAAATAGTATATTGGATTTCTTTATATATACATTTATTCAATATCACCATAATTTATTGTTTTTAAAATAAAAATGTATACCTTAATAGGATTTTTTATTTCAAAGAATTTATATGGAAAAAGGTGACCAAAGCACTTGTACTAACGAGGACTAACCAGCAGCTGTAGTCCACTTCATTACAAGCCGAAGCGGCTGTCCTAGCGAACGAGCGTGGCCGATCACGGATATCGCCGTATCAGGGATCTCAATTCCGAGATTCGGCACATAAAGACTTTCACCGGTAGATAAGACGCCAGAGGACCTGCTACTGCCATATTTTACGTATCACCTGGCCCCAGCGAAGCAACCGCCACTGTGAGAAAATGGACCTAGTAGCGTTGCATATGTCAAAAGGCGTGAGAGTGCCGTTTTAGAACAACCACCTACTCCCTCCTGTCCAACCTCGTCGGAGTGGCACACTTCCTGGGTTTTCCGTTGGTTGAGCTTGACGACAACGACTGAGGGACAAACCGATCTAGGCAGCGCTTAGTAAGACGCTACAACAACAATATGCGCGAACCGCTCGGTGAAAATCAAAAATTTTTAATTTTGTTCATGAACATTAGAGTGGTTTATAAAAACACTCTTTTTGGAAATTCATAAACGCCACATCAGAATATTGTTATTTGTTATAAAAAAAGAGACACGTATTTTTTTTATAAAAAAAAAAGTTTTTTTAGAGGTCGCGCTGGTCGGTTTTTTATAAAAACGCTGATTGACTAAATTTTTTTGATATGTTCAAATGCAGCAAAAAATGTGGTATTACTCTGGTATTATTTGGGATATTCCCTTAATTACACACCTGTCTTGGACAATTAGAATGGGTCTAGTTCCCGAAAATGTGCTCTCGAAAAGACACTAGTAAAATTAAAACATGGGTTGGAACTTGTTACCAGGGGGTTCCTGGGGTTGCTAATTAGGAATCTGAAGTCAGTTTTTCAAAATTCAAAATGGCGGATCCAAAATGGCGATCAATTTTTTTTTTTTTTTTAATTATTGGATTTGCTCGCCACCCGGCACTCGAGAGTTTTTGGGGTCGCCGATTACGAATCTGAAGTCAATTGTTTTATAATTCAAAATGGTTGATCCAACATGGCGATCAAATTAAAAAAAAAAATACTAAATTTAAAACGTTGATACTGAACGATTTACGCATTGTCATGGGTTGAAACTTGTTACCAGGAGTTCTGGGGTTGCTGATTACGAATCTGATGTCAGATTTTCAAAATGTAAGTATTTTTCTAATTGAATTACAGAGAGTTGGAATTGAAAAGTTTTAAATTTTCCTTTTAATGTGACTACAACCTAACAAATTGTGAAACATCGGAAACCACCGATATATCGATGTTTTTCTGGCGATGTATTTTAGCATCGATGTTAATTTTTCTGGTGCATCGAAACATCGATGTATCGATGTTACCTCCCAAAATTTCCATCCCTATACATATTAAGAAATTGTGGGTTATATACTACCGGAAAAAATTAAGTTTTTTTTCCTTTGTATGTGCTATTTAGTACTTCTGAATACTCGTTCCCACGACGCACATAGGGATATGTCATTAATCTGAGGGGCCAAAACCACATTTCGTAAAACTGGCCCGAATTGAAAAAATATATATTTATTTTTACTAGGCCAATACACTAATGCATTATTTTCAATAATAATTTATTTTCATAATTCAAATACCAAGTTTTTACAGCCAATGTAAACTCGACAATTCGAGTATTGCTTCTGAAAATTTGCAACTTCTCAGTGCAGATGCATTTCGAATAAAACATTTTACGGTTTTTAGAAAAGCTTTTGAAAATAAAGTCTTAGATTCTTATGAAGCAAGTAAGAGGATACCATATTTATATATTTTAAATCTTAATTAGCCATTAATGTGTTATTTATTCAATTTTTAAAAAGTAATATTGTGAGTAGGGATGTGCCGAGTATCCAGTAGATATCCGGAATCCGGCGTATCCGGCGGTTTTTCTGTTATCCGACTTCCGGATTTCGATCATAGAAGATGCAAATTATAAATCTAGTTCAAAAAAAATAAGAAATAAAAAAATGTAATTGCCCAAAATTAGTTTTTTGTATTGAAACATTTTGGTCCAACATTTTCACCAACAGTGCGCGTTCATGATTTTCAGTGACGCATTTATCGTGTAATATTACGGTTTGGTGGTTGTCAGAAGGCATATTTCTATCGCCGTCTTAAATAACCTAGCAAAAGGGTGCATGCATACAAAGATACGTAATAGTTTCAAATAGCCCCAATTTGCTCTAAGAGTATGAGATTGATTTCATATATCTCCATAGCATGTTCGAGTGCTCTACCATGAACACTTCCAGAGATATGCAGTATGAAAAATTCGATTTGTATGGGAGGTGCCACGCCCTCTTTTCCAATAACCACAATTTTTCTCCATGAGTATGCGATTGTTTTCCTTTATCTTCATACCAAGTTCAAGTACTCTACCATGAACACTTCCAGAGATATGCAGTATGAAAAATTCAGTTTGTCTGGTAGGTGCCACGCCCCCTTTTCCAATTACCACAATTTTTCTCCATGAGTATGCGAATGGTTTCATATATCTCCATACCATGTTCGACTACTCTTCCATGAACACGGACTTCTTCTATGAAATAGTTAATTATAATTTGGTAAGGAATGATAGAAAATTTAAAAGAGGGGGAGGGATCGCGATATACTGTCGGTCCAACCTAAAAATCAAGTCTTTGGCGGAGTCGGCTAACTCTGAAACAGAGTTTTTAATATCAGAAGTTTCTGATGGTGTAAGTAAGGTATTGGTCTCTTGTGTGTATAACCCCCATAAGTCGTGCGTATTGGATTTGTTTTTTGGTGAGTTATCTGTGTTCTTACTTGATTATGAGCGGTATGTAATTTGTGGTGATTTCAATGTTAATTTGCTTGTTAATGACTCTTATACCAATAAACTACTGGACAATGTTTGGGTAGGAGGACTTGTTATAGTCAATAATTCTGTCCCTACCAGATATGCTAATAATGCACAGCCTAGTCTCTTAGATGTCTTTATTACGTCTGACCTTAAACATGTCCTCAAATTTGACCAACTATTTTTTATATCTGACCACGACTTAATATTTTGTTCACTAGATGTAGCTTTTAGTCGTCCTGTTGTTGATGTCACTTTTACGTATAGAGATTTTAAGTCCTTAAATGTTAATGAACTTTTTCGTGATCTGTCTAGTGTTTGTTGGGAAGATTGTTGGTATTGCGAAACCATTGATAAAAAACTTGAATTCTTAAATAGAACCCTAACTGTACTTTTTGACAATCATGTCCCCATTCGATCAGTTCGTGCAAGCAATCAGTCGTGCCCTTGGTATACAAAAACAGTTTGCTTGGCAATAAAGAAGCGTAATAAACTGCATGCTAAGTGGAGGAAAACTCTAACCGAAAGCCGTTGGTCTCAATACAAAACTGCACGAAATGCAGCTACGGCTACCATTAGGCAGGCCAAGAGCTGGTATTGTAGGAATAAACTTGACGCAACACTTCCCTCCAGAGACTTATGGCGCAACCTTAAAAGCTTGAATGTTCATGGTAATGATAAACCTAAGTGTGATTTGGACCCTGATGTGCTGAATAATTTTTTTACTAGTGCAAGCAGATGCGTGAGTTTCTCTTCAACTGAATGTAGTCTGACTGACTGTGATTTGGTAAATATATTTCAATTTGTAGGTGTGAGTGAAGGAGAGGTTTGGCGGGCTGTAAGGGGTATAAAGTCAAATGCGGTGGGGGAAGATGGAATTTCGCTTAAGTTTATAAAAATTGTACTGGCATCTATATTGGGTACTATCACTCATACTATAAATTACTGTTTTGCCAGTTCGTGCTTCCCTTCCATTTGGAAGAAAGCCATCATACTTCCTGTGGCTAAAAAGACTAATGCTAATAGTCCCTGTGATTATCGACCAGTTAGCATATTGCCTGCTCTTTCAAAGGTATGTGAATCGTTAATGGCGACACAAATTTCGGCATTTATACAAGAAAGAAGATTGCTGTCATCGTTTCAGCCAGGTTTCAGGCCACAGCATAGTTGTTCCACTGCAATGACGAAGATTCTTGATGACATAAGGATACAACTTGACAATGGTGATCTAAACCTTCTATGCCTTCTGGACTTTTCAAAAGCATTTGACTTAGTTAATCATGGCCTTTTGTGTAAAAAACTTAGGCATTTATTTGGTTTTACAGATAGTGCTGTAAGGTTAATGTCTAGCTACCTTGAAGGAAGATCCCAAAGAGTTAGAGGTAGGGATACTTTCTCTATGTCAAAAGTAATTGCTTCTGGTGTTCCGCAAGGATCTGTTCTTGGACCGTTGTTGTTTAGTCTTTTTGTTAATGATGTGTTCTCTGTGTGCCGTTATATAAATGTACATGCATATGCTGATGATATTAAGCTATACCTGTCCAGTCGTGTTGGTCTTATTGAAGATTTGTGTTTTAGAATTAAAAGTGATTTGTCTGCGGTGTCAGAATGGGCTCGTGATAATTGTTTGTCTTTAAATGCTACAAAATCCTATGTTCTCCCCAATAGTAATAGTGTGATTCACTCTGAAGATATCCCCGAGTTATTAATTGGTAGCAAAGTTCTCGCTGTTACCGATAAAATTAAAAATCTGGGATTCATTCTTAACACTAAGTTGANCAATAGTAATAGTGTGATTCACTCTGAAGATATCCCCGAGTTATTAATTGGTAGCAAAGTTCTCGCTGTTACCGATAAAATTAAAAATCTGGGATTCATTCTTAACACTAAGTTGAATTGTCGTGACCATGTAAATAAAGTTGTTAGTAATATGTATGCTGTGTTACGTCGTCTAAAGATCTCTGCCTCATTTACACCACAAGATACCAGGCGCAANACTAAGTTGAATTGTCGTGACCATGTAAATAAAGTTGTTAGTAATATGTATGCTGTGTTACGTCGTCTTAAGATCTCTGCCTCATTTACACCACAAGATACCAGGCGCAAACTGGCTAAGCAACTCATAGTGCCCCTCATTACGTACTCTGAGACTGTATACAGTAAACTCGACTCTATCTCCTCCTACAAAATCAGTGTTGCGTTCAATAACGTTACTAGATATGCTTATGGACTAAACAAATCTGATTATATCTCCCTGTGGAAGAATAAAATCCTGGGGTGCAGTATCGAGAACTATCTTGCTGCGAGGAACTGTATATTTTTATATAGATTGCTTGCGTTGCAATCTCCAAATTATTTGTATGAAAAGTTGCGACTGACCAAGTCTAGTCGACATCATAGCCTTCTTATCCCAAGATACACCCTTTTAACATCTTCTAGAATGTTTTTCATTAACGCTGCGAGGCTTTGGAACTCCCTGCCGGAATCTACCAAGTCTGCACTAAATTTAAGGAACTACAAAGCAGTAATATACAATTACTACAATGATTTGTAATGCTATGGAAGTGGTTGCAATATCTTTTAATTCTCTACTTCTTTTTATTTTTTCTCCCACTATCTTTTCTAACAATCTCTACCCTGCCTATGTATACTATTAGTGTCTAATGTAATTTAAGATTAATTTTGTTGTATGTATTTATTATTCTAATTCTACTTAGCTTAGTTTTTTAAATATGTATGTATATGTAATAATATTTTGTTACTATTTCGTCGGATGCACTATAAAAGACATGGTCTTAGATGTGTAATACATTGCCTATTAATAAATAAAATAAAATTTCTATTTTCAACATAAATGCCTCTCCTTGCACTAAACACTATTCCTGAGTGGAGCCAGTGTAAACAAATTTGAAAATACTTTGCGACTATACTTTCACCAAATTAAAGAATCTTCTTATCTGAGTATAAGAGGTATCTGTGAATATTTCCATTTCTAAATCGCTGCCTTGTTTCTTGTACGGTCGCTGCCTTGTTTACCCATCGTTTGGCTATCCACATCACTCAAAAACTGGACTCAGCATCAGAGCCGTTGGCAATTTCCTCAAAGCATTGTCAAATATCCTGGTGAACTTCCAATAGAAGCTTTCACTAGAGTTCGGCGTTTTTCATATAATTAACGATTAGTTTATCCATGCTAATTGACTTGTATTTTCAAATTAGTTTATCATCAACCCAGTTTTTAACTTAGTTTAGCTTAGTTAGATTTTCATCACATTTTTTAATAAAAATACATCAACCACACGTTTTCTCTTAGCGGCTATCATTGTTTTTTACCTTTTGTCCTTGACGTTTCTCCTCTATTTAACAAAAAAGTCGATAAATCAGGGTTGCAGACGGAAAAGTAATCTTTTGCATAGAGGATTATTTTATAAGCTGGATTTGAGGAGAAAATTTTAGTATTCTTAATTACCTATTGAATAGTTTAGCTCGAAAAAGCAGATAATCTGATCATAAATACATATGTATGTCGCTAATCAAAAATAAAAACATTATACAACAATATTGTGAAATTTATAAAGGGCAGTAGTCTACCGGATATCCGATCGGATATCCCAATCCGGCGCAAATTCTTTACATGGTATCCGGAATCCGGTTATCCGGCAAAATCTGTATCCGACACATCCCTAATTGTGAGACTAAACCCTCTTAACTCATCGGTGACCGTCAAGGTGTTCGGACGTGTATACGCTGTGTTTGCGATATTTGTGCTAAATTCGGTTGTATTTTGCTTTAAAATGCCCTGTGTTTGCGGTCAGAAAGTTGACCGCGGGCTGCCTAAGATACGGTGTGATAATTGCAATGAATATTTCCACCTTTCGTGTGTTAAATTATCGCAAGATGATGTTGATTTTTTGCAAAAAACCAATCACTCATTTTATTGTGAAATCTGTACAAAACGGCGCCGCAATTCTTTTCGTTCGCTGTCTCCACCTCTTGTACCAACAAAATCAGTAACGGATTCAGTAAATTCTCTTGCTGCTGCTGTTAATCAACCAAAGCAACAGTCGCAGAATGCGAACTCAACTAGTGTATTACCAAGGTCAGAGAACGTAAAGCATAAACAACAATCGCAGAGTTTGAATATGATGAGTGCAATACAAAAACAAAACTTCGATCACCCGAAAGCTACTGTATTGGAGTCAATGCTCAAGTCTGTGCTTGATGAAGTCGTTGGTCTTAAAGCAGAGAATTTGCGAATGTTCTCTTTGCTGCAAACATTGTACGATGATAAGAACATCTTGTTAAAGAAAGTTGATGATCTCCAAGCTGAGCTGGGCACTTTGATGAGTATAATACGCAAAAAAAACTGCACTCTTGCTGTGGACGCTGCTGATATTGAAAACATCCCTCCGGCTGCTTCTGTTATCTCTACTGTTGCTGGTACCATTGCCGTTGACGCCGCTGTTGAAGTTGTGAGTGAAACCGCCGCTGACGCTGCTGCTGCCGTTGATAACATTCTCTCTACTGCTACTTCTACTAGCAATGCTGCTCTGCCCACAACTAATATGCTCTATTCAGATGTCGTTGGTAAAATTACTGCTGCTAATACTAACGCTGAGACTGTGACTGTTATGGCACCTGCACTCAACCGTTCTCAGCCTACATTTTCTATCGCATCGAAGGCTCAGTTGCCTGCAGTTGGTGTTAGCGCAAAAAATATGAATACTGTACAACAAAATAAATTACCCAAGCGTCGTATTCTAGTTGTTGGAAATAATAATAATAATGATAATGTCGAACTTGATGTTGTTATCAAAAAGAAGTGGGTGCATGTATCGGCTTTTAAGCCAACTGTGTCTGCTGATAGTATCATTGCATATGTATCAAAAAATTCTGGCGTCGATAGCAAACATCTTGCGTGTTTCAAACTTATAAAGAAAGGTTCATCTCTCGATAACATTCGCAGTGTAAATTTTAAATTTGGAGTTTTGCCGTCATCTTATGAGAAGATTATGAATCCTAATGTTTGGCCTTCGGGAATTAGTTTCGCCCATTTCAAATTTTTCAAAGGGAAGGAAGGATCCACTGAACCGACCAAATAGCTCTGCAGAATATAAATTGCAAATCTCGTAATCTTAAAATTTATTTCCAAAATATGTCTGGAATGCGTACTAAAACGAAGGAAGTGT